GCAATCTCAATGGGAGCTGGTTCTCTATAAACTCACACAGAGTCAGGCTGTGATCAACACACAGGATCCACTCATACTCCTGGCTGGCTAGGTCATCAGCGAAAGGCTGGCTCAGACACTGGTAAGCATGGAAATAATTAACAAGTACACCAAAACGTAACCAAAAAGACCTGGACCATTTCAAGGACTTTGGAAGCCTAACAAGTGGTGGGTTGTTCCCTACTCACAAGACAATCTCAAGCCAAAAATACCGAATGAATGCACCCTGGCCCTTGACTGGAGAAAGAACACGTTTCTGTTTTTCTAGATTCCAAGCATCCTCATGTTTAAGTTACTTTAAAACAGAAACTTTGCTTCACTTAAAAACACTCAGGCTCACTGGAGAAAACAAATATGCAATTAGGGACAAAAAGCTAGCTCATTTGTTACTCCACCACACGGCACTACCTTAATATCCTGTGTTACTTCTGCCAGTCCAGACCTGTTTCTGTACATGTTGGTTTTCAGCTCTAAGTGGCAGCTTCTTGACCTCATCTCCAAATCCTGCATTGGGACCTTACTGGTAGCTCTAGAGATTAGTGGTTCTCTAACTGAAATGTGTACGAGAATCACCTGGGAAACCTGTTACAACAGACTGCAGGGCCCCATGCCAGAGTTTCTGACTCAGTAGGTCTGGAATGCCTGAGTTCCCATGTGATGCCCATATGGACACTGCTAGTTAGGAGCTGGCACGTTGAGAATCATGGAAAACTGAAACACAGAGACTAGTTGTTTAAACAACACTGGTATGGTTTGTTTCTGAAAAAGACTATGTGAAACTATCCCAGGATTTTTTTTCTCTTAAATTGGTTTCACTTAGAAAAGATATGTAGCAGGTTGTTTTATTTAAAGTACAAAATCTATTCTATTTTTTTAAAGACTTATTTATTTGAAAGAGTGACAGAGAGGAAGAGACAAAAAGCTTCCATCCACTGGTTCACCCCACAAATGGATGCAACAGCCAGGGCTGAGCAAGGCCAAAGCCAGGACTCCATCCAAGTCTCCCATGTAGGTCAGCAGGGGCCCAAGCACTTGGTCCATCATCTGCTGGTTTCCCAGGTGCATTAGCAGGGAGCTGGAATGGAAGCGTAACAGATGGGACTTGAACCTGCTCTCTGATGTGCGATGCATAACCCACTACACCATAACACCAACCAATGCCAGCCACAATCTATTCAGATTTGATGGGATTAGATGTACTCTAGCTAGGGAAAAACCCTTAATGTCTGAGTTTTTGACAGCCATTCCACAGCCTGTAGGGAATTCCAACCACTCTAAGATGCTCAGTTGGTCCCCAGCTATCCCCGAGTCTCATCTTTCCTTCACTGTCTTAACACCAAACATGTCCTCACTGTTCCTCCCATTTTCCAGCCTCCCTGGTACATGCTCGTTCAAGTACTGGTATGCTTCCCTGTTCCTGCATTCCTCTGATGAGACTTAAAACCACAACTCCAATGCTTGGTGAGTGACACTGACAACTACAACATGCAACACAGTGCCTAAACCCTCACAGGTACTTGGTCTGCAGTGAATAGATGAATGCTCTGTTTAGAAAGACATGGAGGGCATGTCAGGGAGTCTCTCTCAGCAGTCCAGAAATACTCTTATTCCTACAATGAATTAATTCCAAGGACTCCTCTCAAGTACTAAAATATTTAGACGCTGAAATCCTTTACATAAAATGGCTTAGTATTTGCATATCACCTGTACACATCCTCCCAGATACTTTAAATCATTTCTATATTCTTTGAAATACCTGATACAATGTATTATGTAAATAGTAGAGCAACACATAACATTTCAGTCAAGGACAGACTGCATACACTCTGGTATCCACCATATAGTATGTAATAGGCAACACCATCTAGATTTGTGTAAGTGAACTCTGTGATGTTCCCTTAATAAAATCACATAGGGACACATTTCGCACAACATATCCCCGTCATTAAGTGGTGTGTGACTATAGTTACCATATTGTTTAGAGAATAATTACCAAGAGAAAAGTCTGCACACGCTCAGTATTGACGCAATTTTTTTTCACATATTTTTAACCTATGATTGGCTGAATCTACAGATGTAGAAACCAGAGGCAAAACCATGGATGTGGAGGACCAAATATAGAACACACTGAACAAGAATGTGGGTTTTGGATCTAGGCTACCTGAGTTCAAGCCTTGGTTCTGGTACTCCTAAGTTACTATTACAGTCATATGCCTTGGTTGCCATTTATAAAATCTAGATAATAGAGTTGTGCTCACATAGGTTAATACATGCAAAATGTTCATAGTAGTTCCTGGCACACAGTCAGTACTCAACAAATGTTAGAACTGTTTTAGAATATGTAAGGTTTAAGGCTAGTTTTTGCTCTTAAGAAACTAGTGATCAAGCTGGAAGAAATGATAGGAACCAGGGAAAGGTATAATATAAAGTAAGAAATTAGGTAAATATCAAACAATTTTAAGTACTAAAAAATGCAGAATCTTCTGGGATGACAATTTTAAGTAAAACTACACTTGTCTGTATGTTTAGATTTAAGGGTTTGTCATTATAAAAGGCAGCTATATTGCTATGTTGAGTCATATGAAATTCTTAATAGGTCAAAGACATTAGCATTTTTATACAGTTCAATCTAATACTTTCTAGTTATATCTTACTTTTACCAAATAAAGGAAAGCTCTCCATTTATGTGAGATAAATAATTGGGTTTTTTATTTAAGAGCACAAAATAATTCTGCCTACAAAACATCTTTTGGAAGCTATCTAACTCAACCTCATGAAGCTGTTACATGAAAACTTACATTAAATATCTAGAAGAAAATCTTAAATAATTTTTTAATTTATTTGACAGGTATATAGACAGTGAGAGAGACAGAGAGAAAGGTCTTCCTTCCGTTGGTTCACTCCCCAAATGGCCTCCATGGCCAGTGCTGCATCAATCCGAAGCCAGGAGCCAGGTGCTTCTTCCTGGTCTCCCATGCGGGTGCAGGCACCCAAGCACTTGGGCTATCCTCCACTGCCTTCCCAGACCACAGCAGAGAGCTGGACTGGAAGAGGAGCAACTGGGATTAGAACCTGGCGCCCATATGGGATGCCGGCACCGCAGGTGGTGGATTAACCAAGTGAGTCATGGCACCGGCCCTGAAAAATCTTAAATATTTTGAAGAGAATAACTACAAATTTGTACATATTTTAATGAATTATAAAAATCTTGATAGATTCTATTCTCCTTGTATACAATTATAGGTATTTCTGTAAAAATCCAACCAAAAACCCCTTCAATTATATCCTCACATTCATTTGAATTCAGGCCCATAGCAGATATTAAGTTCACATCACTGTGCATTTTCTAAGTCAATGTATTCTAGAGCTATCTGCTTGCAAAATAGCACATTAAACTTAATGTTATTCAAACTTTTCTTTAATAAAAAATTGAAGTAATTAACAACTCTGTACTACACTCAACTGACAAAGATGATTGTTTAGGAAACTAAGGCAAGCCGAGGTGTACACTAAGAGAGTACCACCATAAAAAAAGACATTCTCTATCACTAGAAAATGCTGCAAGACAAAATGATTAATTCAATTAAGAATATTTCATACAGCCTACATCACAGACTGTTACAAGTTATGCAATATAGATTCCCTGCTCGAGTTTCTCATGCAAAATGTTATAAAGCTTTTTCTGAATATACAACAGGTCAGTGCTAACAGTTCTATGTCAGGACTAGGGGTTATCATAAAAGGGCATGCTTAGAAAACCATTTATACTCACCTGCACCCAGCATAACAACACTCTGTCCCTTTTTCTTCCCCACATAGGTTTTCTATTACTAATTAATGATCTCATATATTTACCAGACAAATCACTAAAAATGTACCTATAAATATAGGTATCATTCAAGGCAGAAGAGAGCAGCTGGAATCTAATGCCACTCTATCTCCTGGTAGTTTTTAGAAAACAGATACACTACTTCATCCAGCTACTACATAAAAATATGCTTTAACAAAGTGCTCATCTATCTGTATGCTTCCCATAAAGTGCTATGAGCAACTCACAATTAAATTAGGATATAGGAATTGATATCTAAAACAGAGACATAGTTTAATTAAGGACTGCTATCTATAATCCTAACCACATTATCTCATGGATAATTTTCAGGACATAAAAATACAATAAATACTAGAATGGAAATATAGGGATTCATTTATTACTTTTTGGTTTACAAACAAAGGCACCCAATAATGCTTCTATTTACTTCTTATAAAAGATTATAATTTTACATTTAAAAAAATATAAAGAACAAAAATCCCAAATTAGTTCTGTAGACAAACACAAAAAAGGTGAGCACTGAAATGTTTCCTCCCTGCTTCCAAACTTTATTACAATTCTCACAACAGCTGGAGCTGGGTCAAGGCTGAAGCCAGGAGCTGGGAGGTGGACTTCCATCCAGGACTCCCCAGTTGGTGGCAGAAACCCAATTACTTGAGCCACTACCACTGCATCCCAGGGACTGCACATAGCAGGAAGCCGGAATCAGAAGCCAAAGCTACGACTAGGACCTACTGGGATACAGGCATCTTAACCATCAAACCAGGTAAACAGCTGTCCCTGCACTGAGTTTTAGGACATATCAATACAGCCAAGTCAAATTTAAATTTAGTCACAATGACATCACAATTTACAATGCATACGCCAGGGTTAGAAGTGAATGGGGTAAAAGACCCAAATGTTTTAGAATATAGCTTTATCAAATGAGTCAAATATAGTATGAAATTTATCTAACAGGCTCTCCTGTTATGCACTTGTATAGAAAACCTAATTAAACAAAGTATGTCTAGCAAATGACACCAACAGAACTGATATATAAAACCGTTAAGTTTGACTTAAAGCTGAGTTGGTGGGAATTAACACAATCTATATACTTATGCTAACTTCAGAACTGTAAATCCAGACCAACAAACATACTTGCTTAATTTATTCATTAGCCTTCTTTTGACAACAGAATTCTACAAACATACACACAAAATTATAACACAATGGCCTCAGCACCCTCTTAGTTAGCATTTCTTTAAATTAGATTACATGAATAAAAAATTCAGAAGACATACACTTCTGTGTACCTCACCTATCCAAGTTGTACCACATTCTTTGAAAGACAGACAATTCACCTGAATCTAGATATAGTCAGCAGAAGTAAAAAAAATCATAAACATTAGCATGTTTTCTCGGCGAGAGGGAGTACTCAGTGTATATTTCATGAGCCACTGTAAATCAAAGTCATCATCATTTATTCCATTTTCAGACATTATGGTCTCTCATACCTTATGCAAGGTATGGTCCTAGACCAGAAACTTTAGTATCATTCCAAAGAATATATAGATATTTATATACATATTTCTGTGAAAATAATGTTTAAAAGTTTTACTACAGAAAATCTGGCTTCAACATGGAAGCATCTTTCCTTTTCAAGATTATACACCTGCATGGAAGAAGGTGCTTTCCTTTACATTTAGTTTTTCATAATAGCAAAATAAACTTCTTATACATTGCATCTGACAAAGAAAATTAAGATGTAAATTTCCATGTAACGCTTTGTATTGTGAACTGACATCTCTAAACATATTGAAGATAGACTGGTGATGATTAAATATAATACAATTTGATCACTTTCATTAGAACAGTGTTATGCTTAACAATTTGTTAAACCAAATGTATGTTAAAAGAATAAGTAGTGTTAACTACTATTAAGATTTAAAGGGCATTATAATTATCATTAAAATATACATTAATTTTCTTGCTATATTTGTTTCTATAATGCATTTCTTTCTAAAGCTAAAGCCACATGCAGAAAAAATAAATGGTATCTTCAAACTCATTCAACAGCTTGCTATTTTATGTGGTATGTAAATAAAGTCCTTTATTTAATTTTATACACAGTATTTATTCATTATTTTATTTTTCTTGAAGGAATTCAGCTTTCAAGGTCAAAATTAGTATGTGTTTACACACGAGGACATTTTCTTACTATTATTACTACCTGCAAATACATTCTTCAGTAATAATGTACTTTCAGATTTCATTTAGAAGACACTATATGTCTTTTAAGAGTCCTATGAGTAAAATTTAAAAAGGGAAGTGAGCACAGGTATGGTGACTCAGTTCCCACTCCCACTTCTTACAAGAAATCTTCCTGCTTCAAAACATCAACACAACATCACAGGACTGGTTCTTGTCTGATCATAATGTGGACAAGAAAAATGTATTCCTATTCCTTCTGATACTAACAGTTGGACTGATTTTATTTTTACTTTTCTTTAAAAAACACATAGCACATATTCATACAGATTCTCAAACCCATTTAGAGCAAGTAGGTTCTTCAGAATAATAGGCAGCCTTCAGATTAGGACAGTAACCAATTGCTTATAGAAAAACGATATGCACCAGATGTTTAGCAGAAAACAAAAAATGAGAACATGTCTGTCATGTTTTATACACTCAATAACTTAGTGGATGATGTGAAAATAGTCTGAATATAATTTTAACAAAACTGAAACCCACTTTAGCAGACTAAGAAATCAAACATTGAAGAGTCAACTATCTACCAACTTATCTAGTATCCCTGTTCAAATAGATGCTTTCCATTGCAGTGAATATTTGAATTAGAAATTCACTATCTGTTAAGGCATATTTTGATTAATATGTTCCAGAATTGCACAGTTATACTGGTCAGTGTTTCTATTTCCCCACCCTGCTCTCATCTCTACTTCTTTCTCCCAAAGATCAAAATGTTAAGTCATGGTTTTGGTGGCAACTGTAAATTTGAGCTGGCATACCACAGTGTGTTCACTAAGTTTCATGAGCATAAACATTAAAATGTTACATAAAATGTACCATAATTTACTCCATACTCCAATCTAAGATGGTTTAATGTCTTGACAAAAGGTGAGATGACTTAAGTACATTTTACATTTTGCGCATTTAGACCACCATATACATAGATAGATGTTCTAATGCTAAATTCTTGGTCTTCAGTATCTCATAGTGCTAGAAGCTCGGAAGTATGACAGAAACTTGTAACAAAGACTAACCACAAAGTACCAGATGTTTCTTGCCATTTGTGATCTTGCAATAAAAATGCGCCAGATCAGAATCACAAGAATAGTATTGAAGCCATAACGTATGTTCCGCAATCTAGAAAGCAAATCAAAAAATATATGAGACAATATTTTTCGAATAGGGTGACAGCAAATTAATGCTCACTTTTTAATATAATCAAGGTTCGCTTCCACATTAATTTGAAACTTACGTTAAAAACTAAACTAGAAGCTTTTAAGTTGAAAAGTTAACAAAATCCAAACAAATCTGACTACAGATATTTTGAATAGCAGTACATTCAACAATATATTACCTCTATTAATAATGAATATACAGCAAAGTATTTCCTAACAGTATATTAGGGAATTCAGATTTACTCATCTAACAAATGTTCCTGAGTGTCTCTGTGTGCCCAGTACTGTGCCAGATATCAAGTATACTGTAACTAAAACAGGTAGCTCCCTTGAACTTCAGGAGTTTCCTATCTAAAAAGGGTTTGTTTATTATGTACCTCATAGGATAGACAAAATACAGTAAATATGTGATATCTTTAATTGTTACAAGGTATCAGACCAAGTGCACTTACTCCTTCAGTTTTCGATGGCAGTTACACGATCAAAAGCCAAATGACAAGTGTTCATCCAAGAATAAAACATGGCACTAGCTTTATAAAGTACCCTTCCCATTCTTAAACAGCAACAATCACATTTCTCTGCTCAAGTTTCAAAATATTTTTGGTATTTCCTGATGGTGTTTAAAAGGAACACACACCTCTAGATATACAACAAATGTTACATTAAATTCTACTAACTTTAGCAGGCAGTCCAATATAGAACTGCAATTCAGGAACAACAGTGCAGAGAAAATGACTTTATTAAAGGAACCAAAAGATCAATATTCCAGTTTGCTTTGCCACTTAATACAACATGACTTAGGAAAATATAATTTCCCTAAACCTCTGCTTTCTTATCTATAAAACTGGCTGCCCTGCAAAAGCCTCATAGAACTGTGAGGAAGAGAGTTAACAATGCTAAAGTCCTCAAGATTCTACAGAAATTATATTTTTAAAAAGACTATAGAGATTACCATAAAAATTGTATCTCTTAATGACTGATTACCAGTGATGTTTTTCTCTTCTATTTTTAAGTTTGTTTTAAATTGGCATTCTTGCCCGGCGCCGCGGCTCAATAGGCTAATCCTCCACCTAGCGGCGCCAGCACACCGGGTTCTAGTCCCGGTCAGGGCGCCGGATTCTGTCCCAGTTGCTCCCTCCCCCCCTTCCAGGCCAGCTCTCTGCTGTGGCCCAGGAGTACAGTGGAGGATGGCCCAAGTGCTTGGGCCCTGCACCCCATGGGAGACCAGGAGAAGCACCTGGCTCCTGCCTTCAGATCATCGCGGTGTGCCAGCCGCAGCGTGCCGGCCGCGGTGGCCATTGGAGGGTGAACCAACGGCAAAAGGAAGACCTTTCTCTCTGTCTCTCTCTCTATCCACTCTGCCTATCCAAAAAAAAAAAAAAAAAATTGGCATTCTAATTGCTTTTATAAAAAGACTAAGAAAATTATAACCCTTAATTATAAAGACAAAATTCTATACTGATATACTATAGTATCTCTTCCATAGATTATCTGAACTTTAAATAACCTCCAGTTTAAAATGTTTTATTTATTCCTAATATCTTTCCTTTTCAGTAACAATGTAAGAGAAGATAAATAATTTTAAAAACTCAATTCAAAACAAAGCCTGTGTAAGATTCATAAGATGCAAGAATCAAACCCACACAAAACTCACTTGTTCAGATGCTTTCTAGCAGCAGGGAGGCCAGACATTTCTTCGTTCAGTACATATTTCTTAGTTCCCATGCAGTAGTTCTCTATATACTCTGCCCAATGTAACTGCCGTACATCAATATTGAAGGTCTACATTGACAAACATTTCACGTTACTTTCCTGAGTAGTTTTTTCCCTACTGTCAAAAATTTACTTTTTTCTAGAGGCTGATTCCAAATGACATAACTACAAAATAGTTAAATGTGGAATTAACTTTTTAAATCTTACTGCTAGTCAGGAAAGAAGTTCTTATTTTTATTTCATACTTTTAATTAAAAACAAGCATTTGTGGGGCTGGTGTTAGGGCACAGCACGTTAGGCTGCCACTGGTGATACCACCACCATCCCCTACTGGAATGCAGCTTGTGTCCTGGCTACTCCACTTCCTATCTAGCTCTTTGCTCCTGGAAAAGCATCAGGAGATGGCTCAAGTGCTTGTGCCCCTGCCACTCACATGGGAGATTAAGATGGAATTTCAGGCTCTTGGCTTTGGCCTGGCCCAGTCCTGGGCCTTTGTGGCCATTTAGAAAATTAATCCAGATTGAAGATAGCTCTCTCTTTTCTTTTCTTTTTTCTCCTTCTTTCTCCTCCCTCTCTTCTTTCCTTCCTCCCTCTCTCCCTCCCTTCCTCTCCCTCTCCCTGTCATTCTGCCTTTCCAATAAATAAATAAATCTTAAAAAAAAGTCTGACTATAATCTGGGAACTCATGTCAGCATTTAAAGAGGAATATGTTAAAAATAAGGAGAAAGAAGCTCACTTTTTAAAAAAAAAAAAAACAAAAATCTTACTGCGTAAATCAATCTACATGTTTCCTCACTACTTGATGTGTGTACACATGTTTATTTCTAGGTGCTTTCTATCTGCAGTCTTCCCTTGTTTTCTATATATCCTGTATATCATATAACAAAAAAATTTAAATTTCAAACTAGCAGAGCGCAAAATGTGCAATGGTAAAAAAATAGAAAAATATGTGAAAAACAATTTGAGAGGTTTTTCTTAGAACTTAGAGAAAACAGTATTTGGAGAAAAACTGCAGTAAGAACTTAACATTTTCTTTAAACTGGAACTTAGGGGCAAAAGAGAATCAACAGTTCAATCATACTTTGAAAATGCCTTTGCCACTCTCTAATACTAACACTACAAAACGAAAGATAAAACAATTTATTTCACCAACAATTAATAAAATTGAAGCTTTAATGAGGGATCATAAAAATATCAATGACTTACTTATAGCATAATAGCTGTGGAAAATATATAATTATTTCTCAGGTTGCTAATGGTTCTCTAATTAATGTACTTGCCTTTTTGTCTTCAGGGTTTAGTTGATTCATTAACATATTCACATTGTCAGTATTCCAAACCCAAGAATTACTTGTGAAATATTCAAGAAACACCATAGCTTTGTGAAGACGAGTTATTGTTTTCATCATCCTGTATTATGAGAAACACGAACAGATCCATATTTTGCAGGGATTAGGAAAATCCCATCACCACCCAGTGTATCAGTTTCCAAGACACAGACATTAACATGGAAATTGTAATAAAAAAAATCAATAAATGTACAAAACCAGCAGGGAATAAGAATATTTCTGCATCTTGGGAGACATTTTGTAAATTCAAAGTGAAAAAAGAATTTAGAAGCAGCAGCAAATTAATTTAATATTGTTTAAATAGTTTTGCTGACATACAGAACTAATTCTCAAAGGATTTGTAATACCCTCAAGGTCAAATTTTCTGTATGAAATACTGAGCAAATAGATTGAAATAGATCCAATTAGTTTTCTCTTGCTTTTTGTTCCTTAAACTGCATGTTAGTTCCACTGCATTTACTAAGACTCCCTGTGTGTTCATAACACATTGTGTGTGTATTATAATCCCAACTCTTCAGCATCACTGAAGCGAAACATACAGAAATATTCGTTTGCCATTTTGTCAACTCTATTTTTTAAATGAAACCACAAAATTTCTCCTTAACACTAATTGGCGCCACTCTTGATCATGTGGACGTGCTGTGAAATCAATGACTCAAGTAGAAAACTTCTTGAAATAGATGTTAACTCATCTCCTCATGCCTTACCAATTTGTCTACTTAGAAATAAGAGAGCGTGATACTTTTTTGCTTTTTCAAAAAAGGGCAAAAGGCCTTAGTCTTTAAGCCTGTCATTTTATATATCATGGCTTACTGTAAGTCATTGATATCATAACACCAACCCGAGCAGTAACATCTATATCATAACAATTACCTACGGTTAAGTAGGGAAAGGGAAGAAACAACTTTGTGAAACAAAACACACATCAAAACAATCCCAACTTCTGAAAATAGAAAAATAATTTGTAGAGAAATATTTAAAGAGAATTCCATTTATATTTCCATAATAAGGATTAGCATAATATGTGGTTCAGAAAACCCCCAAATAGGAGCTTTCAGTAATGGGGGACAGAGGAAAAATTACAACATTAGAAATGGAGGAGAGGGAACAAAACAGTTACATTTACTAAGAAATTCAATCCATTTAGAAAGAAACCCTGAATCCAGAACACTGGAAAAAAATGAGGCAATATGGACAACAATAAGGAAAAACTATATTTCATCCATTAAAGTAATTCCAAAATAAAACCTCCATTAAATATGAGAAGAATTCTCAAGCATCAAAAGCTCTACCTGAACAGGAATAGTTCGTACAGAGAGAAAGCACTTTGTAGGGTGAAGACAGGGAGAGGGAAGGTTTCTGCTTTTAACAGAAATTAGGCAATTTTTTTCTAAAAAAAAAAAGTAACAGATTTGTAACTAAATCAATATATACTGTATCATGTCTAGGATAGTATACTTGATTCTCTCTGTCACACATACACACAACTTTTCCATTATATTTCTTATAAAAAAGTTTTTCCCTGACTCCTTTACCATGGATAATTATTACCTAATCTTCAGGTTCATTCAAGTGGCAGAACAGCCTTAAAAATCAATCCTGATGGGGCCGGTGCTGTGGCAGAGCGGTTAACGCGCTGGCCTGCAGTGCCGGCATCCCATGTGGGTGCTGGTTCGAGACCCGGCTGCTCCACTTCCAATCCAGCTCTCTGCTGTGGTCTGGGCACACATGGGAGACCTGGAGGAAGCTCCTGGCTTTGGATCAGACAGCTTTGGCCGTTGCGGCCAACTGGAGGAGTGAACAAGTGAACCAGCGAATGGAAGACCTCTCTCTCTCTGCCTCTCCTCTTTCTGTGTAACTCTGACTTTCAAATAAATAAATAAATCTTTAAAAAAAAAAATCAATCCTGATTCAGCCATTCAAAAATTACTTGTAATAAACTGGGGGGGCACTATGGCATAGTAGGTAAAGCTGCTGCCTGCAGTGCTGGCATCCCATATGGGTACCAATTAGAGTCCTGCTGCTCCACTTCCAATCCAGCTCTCTGCTATGGCCTGGGAAAGCAGTAGAAGATGGCTTGCACCCGTGTGGGAGACCCGAAAGAAGTTCCTGGCTCCTGGCTTCGGATCAGCGCAGCTCCGGCCGTTGCAGCCAACTGGGGAGTGAACCAGCAGATGGAAGACTTCTCTCTTTGCCTCTCCTTCTCTCTCTGTGTAACAGTGACTTTCAAATAAATAAAAAAATCTTAAAAAAATAAAAAAAAACTGGGGGTGAGAGGGAGAGAAAATTTCAAAAGCCATTTATACTTATATACAGGGGGGCTTCAAAAGGTTCATGAAAAAGTGGAATTAAATAGCAAGTGTATTTTCTGTGAGTTTCTTGAAGACCCCTTGTATATATGTGAAATTTACAAAATATTTTGAGGCAACAAATATATCTGATTGAATTATGGATATAATAAAGAAACTTAAAACTGTGCCATCACTCTTTTGTTAACATTTTTTTTTTTTAATTTTTTGCCAGGCAGAGTTAGACAGTGAGAGAGAGAGATAGAGAGAGAGTTATAGACAGTGAGAGAGAGACAGAGAGAAAGGTCTTCCTTCCGTTGGTTCACTCCTCTAATGGCCGCTACGGCCAGTGCTGCGCCGATCTGAAGCAGGAGCCAGGTACTTCCTCCCAGTCTCCCACGTGGGTGCAGGGACCCAAGCACTTGGGCCATCCTCCGCTGCCCTCCCGGGCCACAGCAGAGAGCTGGACTGGAAAAGGAGCAACCGGGACTAGTACCTGGCGCCCCAACTGGGACTAGAATCTGGGGTGCCCGTGCTGGAGGCAGAGGATTAGCCAAGTGAGCCACGGCGCCAGCCTCTTTTGTTAACATATTATAGAGCAAATGCTTGTGACTATACTGCCACGTACGCTGTGAGTTATTTCTTTATTCTTTGTTATGGCAACCTGCAAAAACTAATCACAATCCTTTAAGAGTGAGGTAAGACATTAATGGTCATCTAGTCCAGGGTTTCTCAAGCTTGGCACTTAGATATTTGGAGTCAGATCATATAGTGTAGAGGGGAAGATGCTTGGCAGCACCTTGGCCTCCAACCATGAGACACCCATCACACCCTTCCCCCAGCAGTGTTAACTAGATACCTTCAAATATCATCAAATGTCCCTGGCTGTGAACTAGACATGAAAAGCAGCAGGTTCAGAGTAGTTAAGCTAAATAACAACAACAACAAAAAAAATCCAAGATCATGAAGCCAGTTTTTTAGATGTCATTTTTAACAGTAAGGAAATACCTACTGTATTTTAAGAGCCAGAGAAAATAATTTGTATTGTTTTTGTATGCAACAATACTATGATTTTTAGTACCCAATGACTATTTTAAAAGAATTCATATGAAATGTATCCGTAGCACTTTGTAAAATTATGTCAAGATATACAGCAAGTTAATTTGTATCTAGCTGACATTCAGAGAAAGGTAAATGTGTAAAATGAACATCATGACATACATGAATTTACTATAGAATTAGGCTTTATATGATGGCCCCAACATATGGTGTGAAGTATAGCACCCAGGCTCAGTCAATAACTGACCAAATCAAATAATACAAATTGTAAAACTTCATTCTCAATGTTCATAAAATTGCCCAAATAAAACATCTTTATGTCCCTGCTACTTTTAGACAATATGCTCCCAGAGATCAAGGCTCACTCCTCCTTGGATACTTAGAAAGCACCACACAAGACAAACTTCAGGGATAAAGATTTTCTATGTGTTGTTTTCTAGATTTTAATCTCTAAAGGTGGTAACTATGATATTATATTATCTATAATATTGTCTCCCATTCGACATGCTCACCTCCAAAGTCACCTTGACCACATTCCCTGCAAGAGTTGAAAGCAATTTCTAACCAACAGAATAACACAGAAGTGATATTGTGTGACTACCAAAGCTAGGTCAGAAAAGGTGATACAGCTGTCTGGCTTGTTCACTACAATACTCTTTCTTAAAGCCTTCAGTCACCAGTGTGCTGTCCAATTCCTCCTGAAGCTGCTACACTGTGAAGAAGCTCAAGAAAATTCAAACTATCCATGTGCAGAGACCACATGGAGAAAGTTGCCGAGCCACCAGAGCTCTCTGCACCCTTCTCCCTATTACCATTCTTTCAACTGTGCACACAATCGGACTACAGCCACTTGAAAGAACCTGAGCCAGAATCATCCAGCCAAGCCCTTCCAGAATTCCTGATCCACAGATGTACCACATAAATAAAACGTTTTAAAACATTACATTTGAGGTGATTCTTTACACAACATAGATAATAGTAACAGATCTTAAGACTGGGGAATAAAAGGCTGTTACAATCAAAACCAAAAACACATAGTATTGGTCTTAGGGTCTGGTGAAGGATAAAATCTGTAAGACCTTTGAGAAAAACATTAGTGAAAACTGGAAGGGCAGGAAAACAAAGTTGGTGGAAGCTTTAAAGGGATCTGAGGAAGCTGTTGGTGAGGTAATACAGAAGACAGAAACTGAAGGCAGTAAACTCAATGATCTGGCCAAGATTTCCTGAAAGAAAATTTCAAAATTTCCTGAGAGAGGGCAAAGATAGTCTTTAGAAGAGAACTAGCTGCATTTGGAGGAAATGTAAAATTCCAGCCTAGAATCTTCCAAGAAAGTCAGCTTTTCACTGGTACAACAAAACACCTGACCCAAGCTACTCGAGAAGGAAAGGGAGGCTTATTTCCGTTTGGAGGCTAAAATCCAAATGGCATAAGGCAGGTGCTGCTGAAGGTCCTGGGGTAGACAGCAGAGCACACTGAGGAAGGATCACATGGCAAGCCAGGAAGCAGAGACTATTTGGGGCCAACTCGGACTTTACAACAACCCTTTCCAGAGAGCTACCTTCCCAGAGCCACGCCCCCAATGCCTAAGGTCTCCTTCCATTAGGCCTCCCAGACTAAAAGTTTCGCCACCACCCAAGAGCACCACCCTGGGGACCAAGCCTTTAACACACAGGACTTTGGAGGACATTCAACACCGAAACCACAACAGATGGTTGCGGAACACAAATCAATTCCAGGGTAGGGACGTAGAATTCATTAAGACTTTACAAAGACCCAGGGTAGCGGCTGCTAGAACTCTGAGACAAAGGCTCTCTCCAGATCTTACAGATAAGACAAAATGGAAATTCTATAGATCTGAAATCCATAGCAACTTCATATGGGACTCAAGCTAGTGAATGGCTTATAGCAAAAGATGAGAGTATGGCTTTGGTGTGAACAGCATGGATTGCCTCAAGACAGATATTCCTGAAGCCCATATAATTTTTAAAGCAATCTTATCAGTATTCATGTAAAGGGAAAGAAACAGTACAAAATAAAAAGAAATTGTTTATCAGTGATAAGCGGACCATTACCTAAACACCAAAACTAGTCTACCACTTGTTATTGTAAATAAGGTTTCATTGGAACACAGTCATGCTCATTCATTTAGACTCTCTATGGCTTCTTTCATTCTTTAACAGCAGAACTGAGTAGCTGCAACAGAAATCATATGGTCCACAAAGCCTGAAATATTTACCATATGACCCTTTCCAAGAAAAGTTTGCCAGAGGCCAGCACTGCGGTGTACCAGGTAAAGCCGCCAGCCACAGGCACCCTATATGGGCACTGGTTCAACTTCTAGCTGCTCAATTTCCCAACCAGCTCCCTTCTAATGGCCTGGGAAAAGCAGCAGAAGATGGACAAAATGTTTGTGCCCCTGCCACTTACATGGAAGACCCAGAAGAAGCTCCTGGCTCCTGGCTTCAGCCTGGTTCTTCCCTTGCCCTCGTGACCACTTGGGGGTCAATCAGAGGATGGAAGATCTCTTTCTCTCTCTGACTCTGAAACTCTGAATTTCAAGTAAATCCTTTAAAAAAAAAAAAAAAAGGGAAAAGAAAAACTTGCCAAACTCTGACCTGGACTCCAGAACTTTCATAGGCAGGGAGCAGGCACAATCAGATGTTACTCGGTTATACACACAGGTCATTTTTTAACGCAAAAAGACTTAAGAGGGCAGAGTCAAGAGCTCCCAGAGAGCAGGACTAACCCTAATCAAGAAGCCACCAACATATATGCAATAGGATTCAGAACTAGTATGAACCAGAGTTTAGTGTGCCTCCCATTTTCTCTTTTTGAACAAAATTGCTTAAAGCCATTATCTTAGGTTTGTCTCACTATCATATGCTAGGGATACGTATGGACAGTATACAATTTGTTGCTGTAGTTCACAGATTTTTTTAGATCAGTACTTGAAAAACAGGAGGAGCTATACCTATAAAACCACTACAACAGAACCTTATAGGCAACTCAACCAGAATTAGAGAACCCTGACTTCTGATTCCACAGGGATTCTGTGGGAAAGAAGCAACTATACTTTTCATGTGGGAGGCCTGTTCTGGCCAGAATGTTCACTGTGGCAGATTACACTTCCTAAACCAGTTGTAATAATTATGCCTTTTGTCTAACTTGTTCATTACAACATGATTCTTACCATTCTCTCAATCCTCTTTTCTTAAATCTAGGGATGATTTGTGACTCACTTGGACTAAAAGAATGAGGCAAAGCGATGCTGTATGACTTCCACGTAGATCAGAAAAGGCAATGTATCTTTCACTTTATTTGCTGAAACACTTCCCACTTGAAGTCTTCAGCTGATATGTAAGAAGTCTAATTCGCCTGAGGCTACCACTAGTCCTTGCAAAGAGCCTATAGGGAGAAATCTTGCTGCAACATGAAGAGACATTGTCACTAGTTCCCTGGCTGCTCCACTGGCCCCCACCCTCTACCTCCTCATGGCTCTTTCAGCCTCACTAGACCTCAATCACATGAAAGATCCCAAGCCAAAACTGCCCCACTGATTTTCACTTCTCAAATTCCCAGTCCTGAGAAAAACAATGACCATTGCTGTTTTAAGTCAGTAAGTTTGAAATGATCTGGTAGGCAGCATCATCTACTCTGACTCAGTGATTTGTGGCTGGCCCCCTTTGCTTGTGGAAAGCATTGTGATACATTTAGCCCAGTTTGCTCTTCTCATCTAGTTTTTTCTTTTCTGCCCTAAAATGTACAAATTCGGTTAATATAAAGAAAGCATACATGGCCATCATTTATAAATTTCTGCACACCTTTTAGCAAATAAAGAATGTTGCCAATGGCAAACATTGTGTTTTTTTCAGATCATTCTAGAAAATCTTAGAGGTACTTTCTTACCTATTCTAAAGTTGTTCAATTCAACACCTCTCACATATTCTTATAGTTATTCTTATAGTTAACATATAGGGTTAGGAACATGATGGACAAGTGAATCCACGGAAAATCCCTACGGAGCTCAGATCCTGTAACTGGCAGATACCTCACTTTAATTTTTTGAGCAGTTGATGGAAGTTCTGGAATCAGCATCTTCTTTATATATAAATACTCAAATCCTGAACTCTCCAATCAAAGGCTCCACTGTAATGCTAGTGCAATTAAAAAAAATAAATATCTTTATAATACATTTCACGATAATTACATGGTAGACCGTAGAGAAACATTAAATTTGCAGGATTTCAATGGGGGAAAAAAGATAGAAGAAGGAAAGGCTACAACTATAAGAAAACAGTTTCCATTTGTTATTAACTTTTTTATTTCAAACTATTCCATTCCCAACCTGGAAAATTAGTCAAAAACTGTAATTACAATATTATAAGCTGAATGGGCAGCTGAGATATTTAAAGTAATTAATTTTCTAGAAGTATCCTATTAATTTTCATATGAAACTGCACCATCCATAGGAAGTGAACTATTTAACCCTTAATCCCCTATAAAAACTCACCCCTAGGTCTTTGAGGGGGAGAGGAGAAGGGCTCAATTTCAGCTTATAATAACAATGACAACCTTGATGTAGGACATTTCCTATTGTTGGGAATTTGGAGGATTAATGACCCAGCAAGATGAAAGCTAGGGTCAGCAACCCCAAATATCTCCAATTTCGAAGAAATGTCCTAGCATCCTGATTGTGATTGTGATTAATCAGGTTAGTAATTCTAAAGGTAAAGCTCATGCTAGCGACTTTTCGTCTTTCCAGCAAGCTTCCACCACCTTACCAATACATAGTGTATTTACTGCTATTCTTCTTACCACGGTTTCTGACCTGTCAACCTGAGTGCAAGATCGAGCAATAATGCAGGTACTGTATGTCTGACACCCTTCCAATAATGAAGCAATAGGTTGTTGGAATACAACTTAATATTGGGGCGCCTGAATACTTGGTTTAAAGGATTCATCTTGAAGAAATGATTTAGATAATATCCTGTAGGAAAAATAAGCGTCAAAGCATTTTGAATATTATTTGTTATTCAGAAAAATACCTAGTTAGTCCTAGAATTCAACACATGACAATAATTTATCATCCAAACATTAGAACAAATTAGAGTGACTTACAATGCTACCTGTGCTTTTCTGATAGTCTTATATTCAAGTCTTCTTATTCACAAAAGGCCAGTAAGCCTTATCATAAGCATAAACAAATACAGAGTTAATATGCAGTTTTAGTGTAAGCATGGGTTGTTTAACAGTCAGAGGAACAGATAAGACAGAGCTAGTCACCATTACCTTGGGCTTCTTCCAGTCATCCTGAGGTAGATATCATACAGGAATGCTGGGGCCTTATGGCTTACAGCAATCCAGTAATGATATAAAAGGTGATTGGAGGTTAGATTTACATTGGGCCGTCTGAAGGCCTGTTCGAGAGGATTCCTCTTGAAAGTGGAAATTACATGGTATTCTGAGGAAGAAAAGTTGTGTAACAGCTTTGATAATAACCATGTAATGAAGTTTTGAAAAAAAAAGTCATGTTTGTACAACGCAAAATAGTTTACCAAAGATGTCAGAGTCCGTTCATTAAAAAAACAAACTTTTCTATTCTCAATAGTAGCTAAAAGAATATGGGTATGAGACTGCTGAACTCAAGAGGTTTTCAAACTGCCACTCTTTATGAATTTTAATCTGATGAATGAATTTCTGCTAAAATTCACTCTTAAAAGTCTGTAATGTTTTACCTATGTCAGTTTACAGTGTCACTTTCTACATTTCACATCTCACGATAGCTTCTTTCTTTCTGTTCCTCTTTCCAGATTCTTATTACTGTACTTACTTCAAAAAGAAAAGGAAAATCATCATCCTTTGCTTATGAATAAGTTGCTCAAATTCACATACATTAACAAGCTTAAAACAACTCCAAATTAACTTTTCCTATAATTTATTTAGGGTATACGGTATCAACACAATCAAACCTTGGATCTATGTTAATACTTTAACAGAAATGTATATAGAGATATTCATTAAAAATAAAGCTCAACTTGATTTTTCACTAAAGTTTACAACACAAAGAATGCTTATAAGAAACCTATTTAAAAACACTTCAACAGTCTACTTAAAATAATTATTATAGTTAAAATCACCCTAGATTTGTTTTTCTTACATACTCTAAAGGTCCATCTTTAAATAAAAATATCACAGGAAAAGCCCAGGACAAATATCATAAAATATTTACTTTAAAATCAAAATAGTTCTGTAGAGGTAACAAAAATTACTCAATGAGAGATAAAACGGAACCTATTACTAAATCAAAACACAGTTTATTTTAAATTTGAAATCAACAATTTGTCATTCAATCTTAATAGGCTTTAAGTTATACTATTTATATTTTATATCTAGTGACACACAATACACACTAATGTTATCAATCTGAATTTAGATAGATTAAAAGGTAGTAGAAAATATTCTGACAAAAATATATCCTATTTCCTTCACTTATTCATTTATTTCTCTGGGGACCACTTGATACATCAACTCTTGCTGGAAATGACACTGTCTATGGACAGGCAGGCCTGAGCATGCTCAGCCAGGAGAAAAAGCGCTGTTCCCGTGCCACCCAGACCCATGAGGGTGCTGCAGATGGCAGCTCAAAAACAGCAAGGTCAGAGAAGGGTGGGGTGGGTAAGATATTTCTATATCTGTGAAACATTAACAAGGACCACAAGTCAGTGCTGGTGGCTATTACCTCTAAGATGGCAATAAGAATAAGAATAAACTGGTACCTTAGTAATCTTAATGCCTCATGGGTAGTCTAACGTTAAAAACTCGGTGAACATTTTAAGTTCTTTAAGATCTATTCTAATATTCAAAAGCACAGGTAAAATCATACCAACTTCGCCCCAGTGGAAAGGATTAGTGCTGCCTGTTGTACAATTGTACACCATGATGTTTCTTGGTCTGCAAAGATAAAGATGAAAGCAATGAAACACAAAAAGAGGCTAAACTCATCCAACTTAAATCTTAACAAAATATTTAAGCAGAAAGACATGAGGCTGCCGGGTACCTTTTCTGTACTGAATATTTTTTAAAAATTACCCTTACGGGATTAATTTTTATGTTTGAATAACTACTGACCATTACTACCCTTTCTCCCTCCAACTACCAAAAAATGTATAAAAAACAGATTTTTCTCTTTTCATATTTTTTTGCTTATATTAGCAGGAGTGTGCTTTTAAATGTAAGGAAAACAGTATCAATCCCAGCTTTTCCTATCTCTGCATTTTCAGACACTCTAGCTAAAAAAAAATTCTGGACTAAATTTCCTTTTGTAAAAACCAATGCATATATATAATCACTTCTCTTTTTTAAGATAAAAATGCTGGCTTTAAAAACAAAGGCAGTTTATTTAGAAAAAAAGTTACAGGGAAGTTTGAAGTCTAGGTGTTACCTATCAATGTCAGTATTACCTCAAAAGAACAGTGCTCATGAGTTGATTACAGCTGCTCTAGTGTGCCAAGTTTGACAAGTGTAACCCAATTTCTATGGATTTTTACCTCTACAGGCCAGCTTTACAGTAAGTTTTAGTTTGGATTAAAAAACATCACTGTTGGAGGTACCTCCCCCCATTATTCATCCCTAATGAAGCTGTTCATTCTGCATAGTGTGTGAGAATGAACATCAATCCTTCATATGACTGGACGGTCCTCTGCCACTGCCTGTGATACACCAGTTCTCACAGTTGGCAGTGATACTACCTATACAATGGTATGGCACTATCAGGGCTGAGGAATTAACTTTTTTTTTAGTTTTTTTTTCAACTTTTATTTAATTAATATAGATTTCCAAAGTACAGCTTATGGACTACATTGGCTCCCCCTCCCCCCGATGACTTCCCTCCCACCTGCAACCCTCCCCTTTCCTGCTCTCTCTCCCCTTCCATTCATATCACGATTCATTTTCAATTTTCTATATATACAGAAGATCAGTTTAGTATACATTAAGTAAAGATTTCAACAGTTTGCACCCACATAGAAACACAAAGTAAAAAATACTGTTTGAGTACTAGTTATAGCATTAAATCTCAATGTACAGCACATTAAGGACAGAGATCCTACATGAGGAGTAAGTGCACAGTGACTCCTGTTGTTGACTTTACAAACTGACACTCCTGTTTATGGCATCAGTAATCTCCCTATGCTCCAGTCATGAGTTTCCAAGGCTATGGACGCCTTTTGAGTTCTCCGACTCTTATCTTGTTTAGACAAGGTCATAGTCAAAGTGCAAGTTCTCTCCTCCCTTCAGAGAAAGGTACCTCCTTCTTTGAAGACCTGTTCTTTCCACTGGGATCTCACTCACAGAGATCTCTCATTTAGGTCCTTTTTTTTTTTTTTTTTGCCAGAGTGTCTTGGCTTTCCATGCCTGAAATACTCTCATGGGCTTTTCAGGCGGATCCGAATGCCTTTAGGGCTGATTCTGAGGCCAGAGTGCTGTTTAGGACATCTGCCATTCTATGAGTCTGCTGTGTATCTTGCTTCCCATGTTGGATCGCTCTCCCCTTTATTTATTCTATCGGTGGGTATCAGAAGGCACTAGACTTGTTTATGTGATCCCTTTGACTCTTAGTCCTTTCATTATGATCAACTGTGAACTGAAATTGATCACTTGGACTAGTGAGATGGCATTGGTACATGCCACCTTGATGGGATTGAATTGGTATGTTTCTAACTCTACCATTTGGGGCAAGTCGAGGGCTGAGGAATTAATTAACATTAATCATATCTCCATTTTCCCTTATCAGTTACTATATATATTTAATAAGCGACATTGTCACCTCATATACCTATTAACTCCGGAATACCAGGCTGCCGCAAGACTCGTGTTGACAACTACATCTACAGGAACAAGATCTGCAAGGGCATTGTTGGAGGCACGCATTGTTCGAAGAATTCCTTTCCCTGCCTTTGTTGAAATTAAAAACAACACCTTAAGATATATAAGCAGAAGTGTGTATATATAAAGATAGTATATTAAATAAATCAGAAAGTTTACTTACCGCAATGAACAGACCACTTGGTCCATTAAAGTTATCAATCCATCCCTAATACCAAAAAATTTAAAAAAGGGGAAAACTTAGAAATGTTATGTAACTAGAGATTTACTACTTGAACTCTATAACCATAGATATGTATTTGGTGGTTTTCTTCTAAAAAGTAAAAATCTTGGATGGAGGTCAGAATATTTCTCACTTTCCCAAATTGAAGCAGGGATTGTAAACAATTAAACAAACATTTTCAAGGGCTTACTTACCTACTCTGTCATTAACTCTCTGGAAAGATAATTTTATAAGAAGGAAATTTATGTTGTCAAATATTGTTGCTAAATTAAGTTCATTTGATTTTATGCTATTTATTAATACAGCATCTGTAGACTGGGGTAAAGAGTAAGTCTTCTTCAAATTTACTAATAAAATAGAGGATAACAGAATAATTACCAAAAAAACAAAAGAGATATTATCATTTACTATTATTATGTAAGTCGAGGTTTTTCCCTAAATCCACTAATGTACTGGTTTAGAACCCTTCTATATCATACTATAAGAATTCACAAATACCATGTCACAAAGTTTTGTTTTTACAGCAAGATCACAGAAATGCCTTATACCTTTTTCAGCTTTGTGATCTATTGATCTATATATGGATCTACCTCTTGGAGAGTACTAAAGGGCATACTCTTTTTGGTACTAAAATACAAATGAAATCATGGTCTCCTTTGATTCAAGACACGCCATAGTTTTTAAGTTTCAATTAAGACTTTAAAGATGTTGATTTGTACTTCCATACACTCAGCATAATACTGAAAATAAAAGTACCAATGCATCTCTTCCTGTGAATAGAAAAGAGCTTTGCCATAAGACTTGTAGTAAATAATACATACTTTTAAGTCAAGCTACTGCCAACTCTTTTAAAACAGATGTATGACTTAAAATTCTCAATTCTAATTATTTATAAAGATTTCTAACAACTTACTGGAAAAGGTTCTTTCCAACTGGCACCGACAATTGATGGCCTTACAATCGCCACGTTTAGCTTTGCTCCTTCTTGTTGTACAACATACTCTGCCAACGCTTTCGTGTATATGTACGTATTAGGTCTATCTCCTATCAATTTTGGTGTGATATCATTTACTAGGCCATCATCCATCCACCTGGCAAAAGATTGCACACAAAAGTATTTCTAGATGTTTTACTATAAAAATGAAAAGTCACTTAACTGAACTTTGCACCTTCAGACTATGGTTGACTCAACTGATTAACAATTTTTACTTGAGAAATTGAAGTTTTATTTTCGTTAATAAACTACAGGTCACCAATTCCTTTACCACCCCTTCCTTACCCCCCCCCCCACCACCACAATTCCTTAAATTCTGAAGACCAAGAGCTCTTTCAGAAATCATATGGTACCTAGTAAAACCTAACGGGAATTGATTCATGGTTTTAAAACATCACTTGGTTCAGATGTTCATTCATTCATTTGGTGTGCTACCTGAGATCAAGCTAACGTTATTTCATATTTTATAGTATGTACATAAATTCTATTTCCTTTTTAAAGACCAAATAAATTCCAAAATACACCCAGCCCTAAAGACTTCATATTGGGAATTACAGATCTATATATAACCAAACAAGGCAACATGTTCATTATACACATTTGTAATTAATATACATTTATAATTAATATAAAAGTTCTAATAAGCCAAATACTTAAGGAAAATCTTCAAAATTACATGCCCTCACTAGCAATATTAACAAATACTTGGATCAACAATAAAAATAAATTGAATCATGCTATAAAAACTTCATTAGCGGGGCCAGTGCTATGGCACACTGGGTAAAGCTGCCCCTGCAGTGCCAGCATCCCATATGGGTGCCAGTTCAAATACCAGCTGCTCCACTTCCAATCCAGCTCTTAGCTATGGCCTGGGAAAGGCCCAAGTCCTTGGGCCCCTGCACCCTCGTGGGAGACCCAGAAGGAGCTCCTGGCTCCTGGTTGGCGCTATTCTGGCCATTGCAGCCATTTGGGGAGTGAACCAGTGGATGGAAGACCTCTTTCTCTCTCTGCCTCTCTGTAACTCTACCTTTCAAATAATAAATCTTTAAAAAAAAACTCCATTAGCAACCTATGATAAAATCATAAAAATTCCTCCAATTCTCAGTATCTATGAAGAAATGGTGTACTTGGATTATCTGTCAAAGAATGAGATACTAGGTGATGTCTATGGTTCTTTCCCAGACTAAATTTCTGATTCGGGTAAGTACTTGTTTTCAGACACTTTTTTTTTTTTTTAAGATTTGTTTGTTTGAGAGGCAGAGTTACAGGGAGAGAAAGGGAGACAGAGATTGGTTTTCCATCCACTGATTCACACCCTAAATGGCTGTAATGGCTAAAGCTGGGCCGATACTAAGCCAGGAGCCAAGAGCTTCTTCTGGGTCTCCCTGTTACTCTATGTGGACAAGTAAGTTCAGTATACTGTCACACTCTAATGATTCTCAAAATGAGAAAGAAGCTTTATAAAGTGAAGATTATCAAGATAAATATCCTTGCAGTAGGCATTATGGCACAGCAGGTTAAGCCACCACTTGGGACCACTGACCCTCGTGAGAGTGCCTGAGATTGAGTCCTGCCTCTGTTTCTGATCCAGCTTTCTGCTAATGAGCACCCTGAGAGGCAGCAGATGATGGCTCCAGTTCTTGCATTCTTGCCATCCATGTGGGAGACCTAGATAGAGTTCCTGAATCCTGGGGCTTTAGCCTCAGTCAAATCTGGCTACTGTGGGCATTTGGGGAATAAACTTGAAGATGGAAGATCTCTACCTCTGTCACTCTGCCTTTCAAATAAATAAAAATTTTTAAAATTTATTTTGTATTTAAAATTACTTTTCTTATGTGGGGAAAAAAGAATATTCATTAAACTGAAGGGAAATTACTACTCAAGTTAGAAAAAATTTAACAGTAGGGATGAGTTTTGAAAAACAGAAGGATAGCTGATACATGGAAAAAAAACAAAGAAAACAAAACAAAAACACCTGCTAAACTAAGGAGAGATGTTAGCCAGTAAGCCCGTCACTGGAGTGAATTTACAGAGCAAACCCATGAATTTCCTAAAGTTATCTACTACCTAGGTTTCTTTGTAAGCATGGAAAAAGAGATACAGAATTAGGTTATAAGCTCTTCCTCAGTTCCTTCCGTGTTTACAAACACTAATGCATTATTAAAAACTAAAATGCAGGCCGGCGCCGTGGCTCACTAGGCTAATCCTCCACCTTGCGGCGCCGGCACCCCAAGTTCTAGTTCCGGTCGGGGCGCCAGATTCTGTCCCGGTTGCCCCTCTTCCAGGCCAGCTCTCTGCTGTGGCCAGGGAGTGCAGTGGAGGATGGCCCAAGTCCTTGGGCCCTGCACTCCATGGGAGACCAGGAGAAGCACCTGGCTCCTGCCTTCGGATCAGCGCGATGCAACGGCCGTTGGAGGGTGAACCAACAGCAAAGGAAGACCTTTCTCTCTGTCTCTCTCTCCCACTGTCCACTCTGCCTGTCAAAAACAAAAACAAAAACAAAAACAAACAAAAAAAAAAAAACTAAAATGCTTCATTAACACCCACACTCAACTTTCCCAGAGATATTACACACATCTGTCTACTAACCTAGGATAAAACGAAGTAGATATTTAGAATCGCCTGAGAAACTGAGTCAGAAATAAGAAACTGCTAGAAGAATATCTGGGTGACTTTCCATTCTAATTAATTTTTACAAGCTCTGTTTCCTCCTAATGATTAACAGGAAATCCTCAAAGGAAAGGACTTGAGTATTATTTCAGGAGAAAGAAAGGGATGGTAACTAAGGAGTCCAAAGTAGTTAGACTCAAAAAAACAAAACAAAAAATCAAAACGAGTCAAAAAATAAAATAAAATAAAAAAACAAAGACAAAGTATTTAGACTCCCTGAGAAGAAAGGAGACTTAGGGGAGACAGAGAAGAATAAAGGGAGAAAAGTCTGCAGAGATTTTCTGTGAGGGTTAACAAGCATGTGCAGATAAGTTGGACTGACATATTTCTGTAATTGTAAAAATGTTTTTTTCCTTCTTGGTGTGACACTGTTTATTTCACTTGTTCAGAAATGAGAATGGGGATGTGGTCTATGCATACGTCACTTAATCGCCATCCACCAAACACTCACAAACAGTTTTAATGTAATAATTCTAGTAGAATCCCCATCCTCAGAAAGATGATAAACAGTAAAACAAGCAGTATGAATTTAGGAATTTAGGACTATACTACTTCAATTCCCTAATAATGAAAGGTCCCTCTGATAGATGTGCTCCAATGAAGAAGAAAAAGGATAATCCATAATAAATGGAACTTGCTATTAAATAGGTGGTCATTGGTCTCCACAGGTATTTCTGGATAAATAATTGATTCCCTGGAAAATAAAAGTCCAAAGATTATGGATGAAAAAGCTGTCCAAAGTCCTTCCTCCAACCATTATACCTGGTTAAAAAAGTGAAAGCCCATACTGACTTCACCAGTACTCAGATATAAATCTCTTAAATGCAAATGACACAGTAGATATAAAATCATTTGTTGAATAAACAGATCAATGTGTATATGCGTATGTATGTGTATGTATTTGTGTGCATCTGTGCAGAGAGGAAAAAGAGGAAGGAAGGGATGAAGGAAGGAAGGAGAGATATAAATAGCTTAGATCTGACATTTTGGATTAAAGCAAATTTATACAAATTTCAAACAAACATACTCTAAAGAATCAATCAGCTTCTTGGGGTCTACAGGGGGTGGATATACTACTTCATCAATATGCTTTCGATTGCAGTAGGCATATGCTGTAGATACATGCATGAACACCTCCAAGTTCTTCATTTGTTGTGCAAGGAGAATAAGCTGTCTTGTAGCAATCACATTTAACTGAACAGCATCTCTGCGAAGACAAAGTGACAATGAAAAAGCTGTTATTTTTTTCAGCTATTAAAAAATTCTATTTCCATTAGAGAGGTAGAGAGGTGGAGGGAGAGAGAGAGAGGGAGAGAGGGGGAGAGAGAGAGAAATTTTTGTTTCTTTACAACTTATGCTTTAGCTCTTACTTTATGTGTTTTATTTCAGTATGACGTACATTCACGCTATCCGCTATATTTTGAAAGATATTTTCTAAGTATAAAGTAAGCTTCACTGTAAGGTTTAAAAAACAAATGTACATATTAAAAGACTGAAGTTACCCAGAAATCATTTACAGATAATTTCAGCCTTCAGTGTCACACAAACATTTTGAAGTCTAGCATGACAAGTTTCTTGATTTCTGAAAGCATCATCTTCTAAGATATGGATATGCCACAAGGAAAAAAAAGAGCAGCTAAGGAAATTTAAAGTGCTTAGGCTGAGTTACTAACAAGGGTCAAAGAGCTAAAGTAAACTCAGAAACACGACGATGTATTAACTAATTAAGTGAGATTAAGTTTATTTCCCTCTTTGTAGCAACTACTATTAACACCTTAAGAATTCCTTAAAAATTCAAAGGAATATTATAATAAAACTGGTACACTTGTTCTAAGATGTATATGTAAGACCCTAGAACAATCCAAACATTCCCTTCTAGGAAGTTATATAAAGTAAATCATTCAACAAAAGCAGAAATATATAAGCAGAAAAGTAATCAATGAAGCATCACCTAATAATAACAAAAGCCTGGTGAGCCCAAATATTCATTATGAATGAAATGGCCCAATAAGTCAGTATTTTATCATAATGAAAGAGTATGGCCATCAAAAAATAATCATACTAAGACTAAAAACATTAAAAATCTGGTACAAATAATACCAAAATATGCACACATTATGATGTGAAGCAGGATTAAGGACAAGGCACTGGAATCATAGGTTCAAATATAGGCTTTTCAGGTCCAAATCCTACTTTTCTGGTAGGATGGCAAGTTATTCTAGCACTCAGGCCTCTGTTTCCTCACCTATAAATGGGAACAATAATGGACTCTGCCTCAGAGGCAGGGTTGTGGAATGGCGGGCTAAGCTGCTGCCTGCAACACTGACATCCCATATGGGCACCGGTTCAACTTCTCGCTGCTCTACTTCTGATCCAGCCCTCTGCTAATGTGCTTGCAAAAGCAGTGGAAGATGGTCTAAGAACTTGGGCCCCTGCCACCCATGTGAGAAACCTTTGGGATGAAGTGCCTGGTCCCTTACTTTGGCCTGGCACAGCCTACGCTGTTGCAGCCATTTGGGAAGTGAACTGGTAGATGGAAGACAGATCTCTCTCTTTCTCTCTCTCTCTCTCTTTCTCTCTCTCTCTATGCCTTTCAAATAACTAAATAAATGTTTAAAAAAAAGGACTCTACTTATTAAAATTTGTATAAAAGCAACCCATTAAGTCCCAAGTTTTCAATTCTGTGAATATTTCAGTGACATATTTATTTCAATTCATGTATTTATTGCTCAGTTTTAAGTCTTTATAAGTTTCTTTATATACAGGATGATGGGACATAAACAGAATTGAAATAAACAGGTTGCAAGCATTAAGATTATTCCTCAATATAGTTCTGAAACAGGGAGTCAATAAATACTACTTAAGGTAATACAATGGGGGGTAGTGTCTGCTTCTTTATACTAAACTTTGTTCACAGCTTATTTTTTAAAAATGGTTGATCAAAAGATCTATTATATAGCATAGTGACTGATTATAAATAACAACCTTAACTATTGCTAATAGATAACGAATTTTCTCATCAAAAATATGCAATGCATGTTAATTATAACAATGTACACATATTTGAAAATATGCTGTGCATGACATATACAATTTTTATCAATAAAAAAAACTGAAATGGGGAAAGGGTTGAAATACTCAGTATCAATGATAAAACTGGCAAGGTAGTATACTGCTGTTAACACTATAAACCAACACAACTGATCTGAAAGAAACTAGGGGAACATACCAGAATTACAGAAAGTACATATTTATTAATCTAGTTAGCCTATTGAAATTAATTCTAGAGGAAAAATTTATTCTCTTAAAATTCCCTAAGTTTGTTATACTAAGTGATTATATAAACTGTGGTTGTATCAACATGATGGAATATCAAATCACTAAAATTTTAAGTATGAAAAAGCAGAAATATGGAAATTATTTCTATATTAAATATAAAAATAAAATCAGAGAGTCAATAGTCACAATTATGTAAAACAATATATATTCAAACAAGAACAAAAGAAAATTTTAAAGATGGAAATCGTTTTGAGTACTTTCCAAAATTCTTATACTTTCGATATTCAAGAAGAAAAAAAAAATCCAACTATTCTTTCAAAACACCAGGTGAGGTCAGAGATAGAATCTGGTTCACCTGACTGTAAAGTAGTGCTTTGATTGCTATCTCGTTTGCAAAACAATGGGCATAGGGAGGGTAGTGTTTTGAGAGGGGTATACGGAAAATATTCTATTACAGGTTCCTGAGGACAGGATAAAGTGTTCTGGGTCACCAGGAACAAGGAATAACTCAGGTGAGAGGGAGAGAGAGATAAAGAGAGAGAAAGGGAAAGAGAGAGAGAGAAACTATGTCATCACTGCCTTTTAAAAAAAAAGTAATAGTGTTTAACATCCTATGGGAACATAACAGAAGAAACAATTTTTTCAAAGAAATAATTGGACTGGAGTATTAGAATTATGGGTTTTTCTTTTTTTTCTTCTCTTATCTCAATTGAGGGAGAAAAAAATATTCAGGTAGAAATCCATCAAGAAAGACATTTCAGAGTGGATCCAGTCCACTAGATTGCTATGAATTGTGCAATTTTCTTTTACATTCATAGAACAATGGGGATAGAGAGAGTAATGTTGGGGAAAGTACACAGGATATTCTGTTACCTGTTCCTGAAGGTAGTAACAGAGTTTCTGGGTCAGTGAAAATAAGGAATAACTTGAAAGCCTTACCTCTCCCAACCCCATTTTGTTCCTAAGAGCCGAAACCTAAAGCTATTTTGTGCTCACATCAGTATCTCTTCCCAGCTAGTTAACTTCACCCTGTTTTACCTTAATCCAATTTCTACTCCATGAAACTTTAGGCTGAGACCCTGACATGTTTGACCTGAAAGCATTTAACAAAAATACTGTTCTCATTATGTTTTGGTTATATGGAGTTATAAACGCATGGCTTTTGTCAGACGGGTACAAAATGGGCAAATCTTTTTAACAGTCCTTCATTAATGCGGATATAGAAACCAATTTCAAAATTCTAACAAATGGGAAAAAAAACCCTCAATTTGAACAGCTAAATAAATTTTCATGTAGAACAAAATTCAATAGGCATTCTGGGTTTTTCAAAATCTATGCTGATAATAATTCTAGATTCTTTAAACCAGAGAGCTCACAAACGTGGCATAACAAACGCCTGGGAGGGAAGGGGCGAAGAAGGAGAAAGAGGGAGGAGAGCATAAGAGAGAGACAGAGAGGAGATGAGGTAGGGAGGAGAGGAGAAAGAGGAGCAGAGAGAGAGACGACAGGGGGAGAGAGCAGAGAGCGCAGAGAGAGAGAGAGAGAGAGAGAGAGAAGAGAAGAGAGACAGGTGTTCAGAACAGGTCCTTTTAAAACTTTGCAGGAGGGCGGGCAGGAAAGCAGGAGCAGCAAATCCCATTAGGATGGGGGTGGAGCTTGACACCGGTGGTTGGGCCATGTGGCCACCTGGCTTCCAGCAATGGTGGCAGGGGCTAGAGCCTATGATGGTGTCGGGGTGTAGATCGCTCCATTGATAAAACTGCGCCACTTTCCTAACAGAAACCACATTTTAAATATGTTTCCAAGGCCATTGTGAGACAGTTTCTTTTCTATTCTCCTCACCATTGCCTGGATTAGATCTCATCACCTCTATGACCACTTTAAAAAAAAAAAACAAAACCTTACAATCCATACATATATGTTTTGGGACCACTAAATCAAACTGAAGCAGAAGACCCAGTTATCTATAATTTCAAAAATATCTCCAAAGTTGTTTCTAATAGCAGTGGCTTAAAGTGTGATCCAAGATCCAATAGCAACTAAATCATACCAAAGACTCTTGTGAACAAATAAAGATTCTGGGATATCATTCAATAACCAGATGGTTAAAATTTGGAAAGCACAGTCTAGGAATCTGTGCTTTTAAAGCATTTTCCTATCATTCTTAAGATTTATAATACATTCTACAATCTGAGAATCAACACCCTTAAATCCAAGAGTTTCTTGGCTTTTTTCTAATCATCAATCTTTACTTCCATTATTTTCTGAAAATCTTTGATATTTGCACCCTGGACCTCATCATCCAGAACTGCTCTACTTCTGAAACCTCAAGTTATAACTTTTCCCCAAACCACAACATCTGTGTATCCATCTCTCCCCATTAAGCCTGTTATTTGTCATTATCATGGCCTTCAGTTCTATGGCACTTCTATACACTCAACTATATGGGCTCTGTCATATCCTCTTTTCACTTACAACCTAAGGAATGCTATACCATATATTAGACCATATAAGCTTTGCAAATGGGATGCAAATTTATTTTGGTTTCTCCCCAGTATACTGGGCATAATGTTACAGTAAAATCTGATTTCTTTTTCCTCCTACTGTCAGTAAATGCTTTGTGCCACTTTTTATTTGAGAGTTAGTTAACAGGTAGTTACAATGAGTACTATTTTAAAGTAGTTATTACATGGCTACCTGCAGTATATTATAATGTCTGGCCCATATCTTAGGTCCTATCATCACTCAGATGTCAACATCCAATAAAATTACTAAACAAATAATAATTTCAATATAATGACCAGGGCTAGGTGAATAGAGTGTCTACACAAAGAAGGGAAAAATAAAACAGATTTTGTCCCTTCCTTTATGGAATTGCTTATATGAGGAGAATAAGAATGAAAAGATGGTTAATGGTTGCCTGTTTACCCCAAAGGGAAAAGGGAGAGAAGGTTACCTGAAACTTCCGTAACTTGGGTCTTTGTTGTAAAGAATACTTTAGTGAGTTTCATCTTAAATAATATCACCTGTTCTCAAATCAACTTCGCCTTTAAGTCAATTGTATGTAGTCAGTAGCTACATACATTTTTTTCTTGAAAACATGCTAAGCTTCACAAGGCTGCATAAGTACCCATCCCCTTTTTTTGTTACAAAGAAAATAATGAAAAAACTACAGGGAGCAGGGAGGGGAGGAATATCAGTTAGACTGACCATTTCATACTAATGTATTCTAAGAAAAAATAAACCACAATTAAAAAATTAGGGATCATATTCACAATCTTGAAAATATTAGTTAAAAATAAATTACTAGGGGCCAGTGCTGTGGCACAGCAGGTTAAAGCCCTGGCCTGAAGCGCCGGTATTCCAGATGGACGCCGGTCCTAGTTCCGGCTGCTCCTCTTCCGATCCAGTTCTCTGCTATGGCCTGGGAAAGCAATAGAAGATGGCCCAAGTCCTTGGGCCCTGCACCCATGTGGGAGACCTAGAAGCAGCTCCGGGCTCCTGGCTTCAGATCAGCACAGCTCCGGCTGTTGCAGCCATCTGAGGAGTGAACCAGTGGTTGGAAGACCTCTCTGTCTCTACCTCTCTCTGTAACTCTTTCAAATAAATAAAATAAATCTTTAAAGAAAATTACTAAACCTACATGAATAACTGTGCGCGTGTGTGTGTGTGTGTGCAAGGGAAAACATTTTTTTTAAGTTAAAAAGGGGGTTTTGCTGATGAAGCTATCAGTTCTTTCAAGATTTCTTACATATGTTGCTTTTAAAAATATTAAAAGCTATTCGTGAACATCTTTATTTGAAGATTCACACATGCTCATGGTGGAAAAATAATACACAGATAAGACTAAAAAACTTATCTGTAATCACATTATCCAAAGCCAATTGTTGGCAAATATAGAAAGATAAGTATATAAATACACATACACACATATTTTATGAAAATCAGTCTATATTATACAGTTCTACAACATTCTTTTGTCACTTCTGAAACATCAGCACATATAGCTGCACAAAATTTTATCTGCTGGCCACTCAAACAACTGAAGAGTAAATCAGTAAAGCAACTGCTACAGATTCAGATTTTCTGCAGTGGACAGGCAAACTGAGACATCATTAAACTTGCTGAAGGAAAGAAAAGCAACCTTTTAATAAGTGTTACCTCAATTTAATATTTAAGGAAACAGAGGTTCAAGAAAATTAATAACTTGTCCCAAACCCATCATTTAATAAATACTAAAGTGAAGATTGGAACAAAGGTAGTTAATTCCAAAGTTCCTGCTTTTTCAATCACAGTGCTGCTTCAGTTTCTCAAATGTAAAATGGATGTTTCTGTAGTATTAAGGCTAGCATAGGGTAAAATGATGAATGAGAAAATACCTCGAAAACTATAGCACCACTGCAGAAATGGAAGGGACTATCACAGTACCATCAACTGGCATACATGCACAACTTTGTAAAGCTTTAAGTGTCAAGTCCAGATAATGCTGATTCATGTTTTCACTTTTACGTTACATGAAGACAATATAAGGGATAATTTCAAAATGCTTTGTAATCTGAACTTCATCCAAAAATATTTTAGAGAGAAGGCCTACAAGTAGTCTTGAAATATTAAAAAAAAACACAACTATGCCATTGCAATTGGCATAAGACCATACTAATAGATTGACATTATTAAAACAGTATTTTGGGACATATCAAAAAGAATGCTCTGAAGTAAGTATCTGAAAGGCATATTCATTAACATTTTTAAAAATAGTGAATATTCACAATGCTATTTTTTCTTGAAATAGACATCTTAAAGCCCAAATTATTTATTAAATTAAACTTAGATCCAATGTGCCTTGTTCAAACAATGCTACCAAAGTTTTAAATATAAACAAGGGGTCCAGAACTATGGTGCAGTGGGTGAAGCCATCACTTGTAATGTCTGCATCTCACAAAGGAGCACCAGTTCGAGTCTGGGCTGCTCTACTTCTGATCCAGCTTCCTGCTAATGTGCCTGGGAAGGCAGCAGAATACAGTTGAACTACTGGGGCCCCTGCCACCTATGTGGAATTCCCACATGGAGTTCCTGGCTTCCGCCCTTGGCCTGGCCCAGCCTGGGCTGTTGAGGCCATCTGGGGAGTGAATCAGTGGATGAAAGGTCTTTCTCTATGTCTCTGCATCACTTTCAAATAAATAAAAAAATTTAAATTAAAAATTAATAAAAATACAAAGTAACTTAAATTTGTAAGCCATTTTATCTTATTCTGCAAAACTTGAGCTGAATTTTCTTTAATTTCAGATGACTATAATATGCGGAAGGATATTGCTGCTGGGATACAGGTTCCTGAAAACTGTGAGGAGAGGACATAAAATTTACTTTTAATTGTTAAGACTCACACCCAAAGTAAACTTTATTTTACTCCATTTCTTGCCTCTTGCCTGGCACATGTTTAAATTCATGGCAACTCCTTCTAAGAGAGACAAAATAAGTATCCAGTGTTTTAAGTTAGTAACAAGAAAGAAATTCTTTAACACCCTGTAGGATCACTGAAAGCCACAGTCAACACACACAGGGCAGTTTCAAATCACTGTTGAAACAACGTCGGTAAAAGCAGACTTAAAATGAGATCTTTTAAGTATGCTGAAGTACAAATATTATATAAAAACCTATACTTACCTTAAATTTTCATTAAACCTTACAGTGGCTGCACAGTGGAATATAATATTGGTAGAATCTACGATGACCTCTTTATCTTCCTCACTAAGAGCCAGTTTAGGTTGAGTAAGTTCACTGTTGATTGCTATTATTTTCTCTCTAAAATCTGGATTTTCATCTCTCAATCGATCAAACAGCTATTAAAGGAGAAAAATAATTTATTTTAGGGTAGCATTTTTCATGATAAAACCCTTTATCATCCTTCTTCCCTGTAAATGATGACTATTTTAAAAACTTAAAACTGTATTACTGTATTTCCTAAGGATGCTCTTAACTGCTATCACTTTATACAGAAATCAGGCATAGGCATCTGGCACAGTGGTTAGGACACTGCTTAGGATGCTGACATCCCATTGTTAGAGTGCCTGAATTCAAGTCTCAGCTCTACTTCAATTCCATTTTCCAGCTAATGTGCACTCTACCCTGGGAAGGTAGTGGTGATGGCTCAAGAAGTTGGATCCCTGTCACTTATGCTGGAGACCTACATTGAGTTCCAGGTTCCTACGTTTGGCCTGGTCAGCTCCCACTATTGTAGGCATTTGGGGAGTGAACCAATAGATGGAGACACTTTGTCTCCTTGCCTTTCAAATAAAATGATAATAAATCAACTTTAAAAGAAAACACCCTATGAGGCCCATACTATTATCTCCACTTTAGAGATAAGAAATCTGACACCGGAGAGGTCAAGTGGTTTGCTAAGGACACAGAGTTAAGCTGGTAGTTTGCAGAGCTAAATTTGAAATGTCCATGCTATAGCTGATTATATTGCCTCTCAGAATAGGCATAAGCAGTATGACATCAAGACAATGTCTACAATGATTATTCAGATTCCTACAATTTAGACTTTAATTTATTACTTCTTTTTATTTTTATTTTATTCCACTTTAGTAGAGTAAAATATTATGACTTATACCTTATCTAAAATCTTCAAACAAATTTTTCAAAAGGGAAAAAGAAAGTAAACACAGACCAGAAACTGGACAAGGTTAGAAGATACCATATATATTCAAACTGAAAATTCAACATGCCTTCAGTAAACAAAAAGAATAAATTTTGCTAGACAATCAGATCACAGGAGGAAACAGTATAAAGGTTCACTGAATTGTGAATCAAGTCCAATATTTTAAATTAATTTTTTAATTAATTGAAAGGCTGCAAGATGGAAGGAAGAATAAGATCCTGTCTGTTGGTTCACTCCCCAAATTCCCACAATGGCTAAGGTTGGGCCAGGGCCTAAGCCTGGGGCAGGTGACTCAATCCAGGTCTCCTCTTCCCTGGAAGAGGAAGATAGAGGGTAGGAGCCATCATGGCTCCTCCCAGGGTCTATAATGGCAGACAGCTGGAGTTAGGAGCCGGAGCCAGAACCAGGATTGAAACCCAGGTCTCCAATGTAGGACGTGGGGCTTTAACCACTAGGTTAAATGCCTTGTTTAATTTTTTATCCCAGATTTGACAGAGGAAAGCTGATTCTACCCCCAAGGTACTACATTTTGACTCTCAACTTCATTTACAATCCAGACTTGCCATTTAAACAGAATTCTTAACCTGGGAAGAAAGTCCATATAACATAAACAATGCTTACTTTACCTTCTTAGATGACTTCAGTTTCTAACAGTTTTCCCCTCAATCACTATTGGCTAGTGATGTGAACATTAATCTGTTCTTATTTTAATTAAAAAAATATTTACTAAGAATCTCATATGAGCCAGGTACCCATAAACTGAGAAAATAAGGAAAAGGCCTTTCCCTCAAGTTGTTTAGGTTCAAGTAGTAAAAACTAGACAAGCAAATGGAAAAAATATAGTGCTGTAAGTAATGTGGCAAAAGCAACAATACAGAATTACAGAACTGTGTAGCAGAAACAACTAACTCAGCCTGGGAAGACCACAGGTTGCTTTCTCACAGGAAATGAAATTTATGCCACGACCTCAAGAATAAATAGAATGTATGCACACTAGGGACAGAAGCAAGAAGAAGGCCCCAAGATTATACAGTACAAGAATACCCTGTGATGTCTAGAAACATTTTTTACTGTTGAGACTGGGAAGGGGACTGCAAGCAACCAGTGAGCACAGGCCCTACAATGCCCAGGATAGCCCTCCACAACACAGTACTAACTGGCCCAAAATGTCAAGGGTGCTGAAGTTCAAAAACCCTGCTAAAAGTCCATGTCTTGCTACGGTACATACTCATTGTCTATATTCTTTATTCCTATTTCAAAATCATAGTAATCATTACCTAAACTTTCCTACTAATTTCAAGAGTACACTTACTGTTGCTTGACATAAAAAAACAAACAAATAAATAAAAACCCTCATTTCTACTGATTCATCAACAGTGTGACATAAAATGGGGAATAAGCAGCCCTAGAATTAGGTGGTGGGATGTGGAAGGGAAGCGGAGGCACAAGAAATGACTTAACTTTATGGAGTATCAATTTTAGTCAAATATTTGTAGACAAAGCATTTTTATATGGAAAGTGGCCATGTTTAGGCTAATCCATTGAAGTTCAAAGAAACTTCAGGCTTTAGGTGTAAAATATTCCTTTTCTTTATAAATTATACTTACTACGGAGGAAATATTAGAAGCACTCCTGCCCTGGAGACCTCAGTGTTATCCAATCTTTTACGTTTTACTCAGGCCCTCAATTCCAACTAAGACGTCAATTTCAAAAGCTGCTTCTTTCCAATATCTTCTTGACACCTCCATTACTCTATTCCCTCTTTTTTTTTTTTTTTTATACAGGCAGAGTGGACAGTGAGAGAGAGAGAGAGAGAGAGAGAAAGGTCTTCCTTTTGCCGTTGGTTCACCCTCCAATGGCCACTGCAGCCAGCGCACCGCACCTATCCGAAGGCAGGAGCGGAGCCAGGTGCTTCTCCTGGTCTCCCATGGGGTGCAGGGCCCAAGGACTTGGGCCATCCTCCACTGCACTCCCAGGTCACAGCAGAGAGCTGGCCTCAAAGAGGGGCAACTGGGACAGAATCCGGTGCCCCGACCGGGACTAGAACCCGGTGTGCCGGTGCCGCTAGGCAGAGGATTAGCCTATTGAGCCGCGGCACCGGCCCCCTCTTTTCCCTCTTAAAAATTCTCTAGAGGGCAGAGACTCTTCCTTATTTATCTCTGAATTCAGCCTCCCACATCAAGTCAAATGCCCTGCACTAATCAGGCTCAATAGGTATTTTCTGAAAAATAAAGTGTGCAAAAGAATAAAAACACCCCCACTGCAGAGGGGTGGTACTGGCAGAGGAATTAAAACATAATAAATGCTGATGATAAAATGCCAAGATAAGTAAACAAATGGCAGAGATGGCAACAAAACATCCAGGCAAGCATTTTTACTTAGAACAAGCCTGGTCATATGACATAAGGGGAGCAAAAGATTTCAAAAATGTCCAGCAAAAAATTAAAAGGAAAAAGTGGTAAAGGAAGACTAATGTAGAGTGATAAAAAGCACACGGGTAATTTTTTTAAATTTCTGAGAAAGAAACGGACTTACCAGAGTTTACTGAGGAGTACCTGCTGAATGATACTCAAAGATAACATCATAGGCAATTATGTTCTATTACAAAAAAACTATCATAAAGGAGTATGAAGTTCATTCAAAGTAAAAATTCTGTTGCTGTGAAGGGCTTTGTTACAGTTTCAAATTATTGTTTTTAAATAAGCCCATAATAATTTAGATATTCAAGTGAATGTCATTCTCATTCAAAAATAAATGATATCACTAAAATTCTTTTATTTTTGAGATAGTCCTGCAGAGTCAGGTTTCTTATGAGGACCAAAACTGGGCTTAATGCTTTCCAGTTCAAATTTACTATAAATGAATATTAAGATAAATTGAGAATTGACAAGCTCATGATTATGAAGTTATTTTAGCTCTATTTTTTCTTAACAAAATTTTTCTAAAGGTTCAAAATGTATGTATTCTAGCTATACGATCTTTACATCTGTCAAATGAGAATACGTGACTTCTCTACCTTTAATACTGTTATAAGGACAAGTTAGTGTATATAAATGTTTAAGTATTAGCAAAGCATAGTATATCACAGAACAATAAGGTAGTTCAAAATTATTATTATCAAAGACTATTTAAAATACCTAGTAAATGCAAATAACCAATCATAAATGTTTTAAAAAATGTACTTTAAATATTTACCACTAGGTAATTTAGAACCAGTTTTACAATTAAGAATGCATTTTTCTTCTACTGATTAAAAAATCATATCTAGTTTATTGCCGTCCTATAGGAACTTATCAATTTTTTAACTTATTTTTTCAGGATATTTGAAGAAATATACTAAGCTACTGATGACATGTACACACTTCTTTCTCCTCAAAACTATTATTTTCCACACTTACCTTGCCACTCAAGATTTCTTCCACTCGTTCTTGAGGGGTCTGCCCAGCTTTCTGCCTCACCAAAACATATACTGAATTCACCTTTGGACAAGACCTCAGCAACTTCTCCAGAAGCACTTTTCCTAGGAAGCCAGTAGCTCCAGTGAGCAGAACATTCTTGCCTTCATAGTATTCTGGGATTGAGACCATTTTGACCCTAAGAAAAACAAAGCAAATAAGCATTAAGGATTTACGTTCATTCTTACAAAAAATCTTTTGGTATTCAGACAACTATTTTAAATGACAGGCAAAACCCAAAATTGAACATTAACATGAGAGGACTCTAACCTCTGGTTCATCGTAGTAAAAAGGGAAGAACAAACTGCGGCTTATTCTAACCCTGTGTTTTTCCCTGGATCACTCCAGAGAACCCACTCACCTTCTCGGGGCCCAAGTTTCCTTAGTGCAATTTGTACTAAATGATATCTAGAAATTCTTTCCAGCAATAGAAACCCAAATCTTCATTCAACCTCTGTTAAAATCTAAACACTACTGAATAGTGTTTCTCTGTCTCCAAAGGGATTTATAACACCAAATAGAGGTCAGCACAAGACTCAATTGCGTAGCTTGTATAACACTGCCAGGTGTCAGGTTTACCTTTCACCACCACTTGAAAGAAGAAGTAACACCATGTTCTTTCCCAGAATGTTCATTAGTGACAATATATCTAAAAAGTACTTAAATCTCCCTTTCAAAAATGTCACAGGAAGAAACACATAGGCTGACATCCTTCCAACCAGAATTCCACTGAGACAGCAGAAAAAATAAGAATGGACAAACAAAAGAATGAAGATAAATTTAAAAAAAGGTGCAGAGAGATTTGTACAATCTGTCACTACATAAAACTCTAAACACATCGAGAACAATGCTCTGGCCTGCTTAGAGATACAAACACATAAGATAAAATGTTGCAGGAGAGGGAATGCCATACAGAGGAAAAGAATAAAGAGCTCTTGGGGCCAGTGCTGTGTAACAAGTAAAGCCGCTGCCTGCAGTGCCAGCATCCTATATGGGCGCCGGTTCAAGTCCCGGCTGCTTCACTTCTGATTCAGCTCTCTGCTGTGGCCTGGGAAAGCAGTAGAGGATGGCCCAAGTCCTTGGGCCCCTGCACCCACGTGGGAGACCCAGAGAAAGCTCCTGGCTCCTGGCTTCAGATCCCCACAGCTCCAGCCATTGCGGCCAACCAGTGGATGGCAGACCTCTCTCTCTCTGCTTCTGCCTCTCTGTAACTCTGCCTTTCAAATAAATAAATAAATCTTTAAAAAAAATAAAGAGCTCTAATTGTATTTATGTTTTATTGAAGCTGAAGAGTAAATATGTGTGCTTTATGTCCAAATTTTTCATAATAAAAAATAAAGGAACAGGGGCTGGCTTCGTGGCGCAGTAAGTTGATCATCCACCTGCAGCGCCGGCATCCCATATGGGCACTGGTTCTAGTCCCAGCTGCTCTTCTTCCAATCCAGCTCTCTGCTATGGCCTGAGAAAGCAGTAGAAGATGGCCCAAGTGCTTGGGGCCCTGCACCTGCATGGGAGACCTGGAAGAAGCACCTGGCTCCTGGCTTCGGACTGGCACAGCTCCAGCCGTTGCGGCCATTTGTGGAGTGAACCAGCAGATGGAAGACCTTTCTCTCTGTCTCTCCCTCTGTCTGTAACTCTACCTCTCAAATAAATAAATAAAATCTTAAATAAAAAAAGCATGTGTTGTTTAAAAAAAAATAAAGGAACAATCTTAAAACAAGAAGTAGCTCTGTGTAAGTTCTGATAGGGAAGATATTCTGGTAAATGAAGAAGTACATAGTCACTGTGTTTTTAGAGTTGAGCAAATCATATATTCAGGCCGTAAGCCTCAATTACTAGATGAAAAACTGTGTAATATCTTTTTATGTTTTAAATACATATTACACACAGGGAAAACTGTCTTTTACCTGGTATCTGGTAGGTAGGTGCTTAATAAACGTTTGCTGAAAAAAGTTTACATAACAAACATACCATATCTGTGGCATAATCTTTGCCACAGATACCATCCTAGGCTCTAGCCCCTGCTGCCATTCCTGGAAGCCAAGTGACCACATGGCCCAACCACAGGTGTCAGCTCCACTTCAACTCCAATGGGATTTCTGATACATAAAAAACAATTGAGCCTCAAAAATATACCATGTGAAGGTGTCAGGCATAAAGTTACATGTTGGCTGGCGCCGCGGCTCAATAGGCTAATCCTCCGCCTGTGGCGCCGGCACACCAGGTTCTTGTCCCGGTCGGGGCGCTGGATTCTGTCCCGGTTGCCCCTCTTTGAGGCCAGCTCTCTGCTATGGCCCGGGAGTGCAGTGGAGGATGGCCCAAGGGCTTGGGCCCTGCACCCCATGGGAGACCAGGAGAAGCACCTGGCTCCTGCCATCGGATCAGTGCGGTGCGCCCTCCGCAGTGCGCTGGCCACAGCGGCCATTGGAGGGTGAACCAACGGCAAAGGAAGACCTTTTTCTCTGTCTCTCTCTCTCACTGTCCACTCTGCCTGTCCAAAAAAAAAAAGTTACATGTTACTTGCATACATTGATACGAAATATCCAGCATAGACACATCCACTGAGAGAATGCAGATTTGTGGTTGCCAGAGGTGGAAGAGGGAAGAAGGAGGAAGGAGTAGAGAGAAACTGCTTAAGGAGTTTTACTTTGGAGTTATAGTAATGTTTCAAAACTATAGAGGTGGTAGTTGTACAATATTATGAATATACTCATACTGAATGCTACTGGATTGTTCATTTTAATGATGCTATGGTTGAATGTGTACAATGACAGTATTAAGAGGCAGGGGCCTTTAAGAGGTCATTAGGTCATAAGAGATCCAGAGTAACTAGAACTGAAACTCTCATCTGCTGGAGTATAGATTGGTATAATACTTAGGAAAAGTGGTATTATCTATTAAAGCTTAATATTCACATATCCTATGATAGAGCAATTCTATCCATAATTACTGATGTGACAGAAGTGAGTACCTGTGTTCACCAAAAGACTCATAAACAAGTATGGTTATAGTGTGCGAATCCTATAGGCCAAAAAGTGCTCGTCAACAGTATATGGTATAAAGTGCAGCATATTCACATAATGTAATATTTTAAAACAATGAAAATGAAGGAATTATCAATGTACCTCACAAGATAAAAATGAACCAATGACGTCAGGTACATGGTGTGTAATAACAGAATATGGTATCATTTATATAAAGTCAAGAAAATAGGCAAAACTCATGTATGGTTAAATCTCAGAAGGGTATCCTGCAGGAAATTAATCACCATTAAGTTGCTGACCTTAGGATATACATACTTGGTCAATGTTTACGTATTTCAATGGAAAGTTTACTTTAAAAAACCAGAGTGATCATATTCCCAGGAATCAAGACTGGTTTATATATGCTATTGCAGCTCCAGTGTCAAATAGAGCTTACTTTCTCAATAGCGTCCCGGTTCACATAATAAATTACAGGGTTATCCTGGTTAAAACCCACTTCAGTTCTGAACTATGTCGTAATTTCAGTGACTGAAATCCTAATTATACAGAGCACTGAAGTCCTTATATGGAAGCATGAAGAATAATTCTAATCAATATACCTACAAAAATCTGGTAGGGATTTATGACAATTATATACAAAATACATATTGAAGAGTATTCTGAGAACAGAACCAATTACTTAAATCTGAGCTTCATTTTCTTCTTATGTAAAATTTTTCAACAAACACTTATTAAGCACCTATCAGATACCAGACAACAGATAGTTTTCCCTATGTGTAATGTATATTTAAAACATAAAAAGATATTACACAGTTTTTCATCTAGTAATTGAGGCTTTACTGCCTGACTATATGATCTGCTCAACTCTAAAAACACAGTGACTATGTACTTCTTCATTTACCAGAATATCTTCCCTACCAGGGCTTATTACAGCCAATCTATGAACACCAAAAGGTAGAAAAATTTTTGTCAAACTTAATTCTGTCTTCTCTTAACTGCATGAAGATTGCTTGGTTAAGAGAGTTGTAGAATGAAACTCTTCTTATCAGTCTCAGGCAACTAGTTCAAATCTATTTACATATGACTTTATACTACTGTAATAATTTCACAGTTATTCAATGGCAACAAAGACAGAATTCCTACATCAAAGTGCAATATCAAAGAAACAAGCATTAAGTATTTTTAAACTCTTGTCTCTAGGTTTTCTTGCCTTCCTCATTCAACCAATATCACCCAATTAATTTATAGGCAAAGCCAGTAAAAATGAAAATTATTTTAATGGAAGTCCAGATTTGTCTCCACTGTCACTTAGTCCTCCAGTGTGACCAGAAGCTACAGGAAAAGCTATGCTGCGCATCCTTCTAAAGCATGCTGCTGCAGATGCCGACTGCAGTAGCAGGATATCTAAACCACCTCTCATCTGCTGAAGAGCGGTTGCAGCACTGTAATACGGAGAAGAACAGCAGCATTATCATTCCTGGGTATTTGCAGAGTGGGAGGCTGGACCATGAATGTGATTCATATTTATTTTCCCTGCTCTTGAGTTTCCACAGGAAACATCATCTGGCAGTGGCAGCTAAGTATTTTTTTCAAAAAACACCTTAACCTTTAGTTCAAAAATTAGAGGTGCAAATTCTTCTGTAGACTGACAAAATCTGAGTACTGCATATCACCACTACTTTCAAGGAATTCAATTAGGTTTACCTGTTAAAAGTGGTTTTTCCAGCTGGTTATAAAAATAATATTTTCATTTATAATTAAGAAAAGCTACTAAGATATGGTTTTGCTAGGAGTTCAAGTCCAAACTTTACTACTTAGAGGCTTTTTTTAAAAAAAGATTTATTTATTTATTTGAAAGAGTGAGTGAGTGAGAGAGAGAGAGAGAGAGAGATATCTTCTATCCAATGATTCACTCCCCCATGGCTGCCAATGGCCAGAGCTGCGCCAATCTGAAGCCAGGAGCCAGGAGCTTCTTCCAGGTCTCCCATGTGGGTGTAGGGGCCCAAGGACTTGGGCCATCTTCTACTGCCTTCCCGGGCCATAGCAGAGAGCTGGACAGGAAGTAGAGCAGCCAGGACTAGAACCGGTGCCCACATGGGATGCTGGTGCTTCAGGCCAGGTCATTAACCCACCGCACCGGCCCCACACTTAGAGGCTTTAAGATCCAAAGGTAAAACTACAGACTGAACATGGACATCTCATGGGGGAGAAGGGTAGGGAACATGGCCAAAGATGGAAAGCCAAAGACAACTTCTAAAGTAGCACCCGATCCAATATAATAAATTGCACCTTTGTGATCTCATTGTATTCTCTCTTAAAGATGAGATCTTCTCTCTCCTCTTCACCTTGTACAAAGTTCTTTAAATAAATATAACAATTAGGGTACCCCAATAAACAGAAAAGCACAAAAATCTACCCCTCAAAACGGGAATTTTTCAGTGCCAAAAAACAAAAGTTCCTGTGGCCGGCACTGTGGTGCAGTGGGTTAGGCTGCTGCCTGAAATGTCAGCACCCTAAGTACTGACTGCTCCACTTCCAATCCAGCCCTCTGCTGATGCACCTGGGAAAGCAGCAGCAACAGAGGGCTCCAGGGTTTCGGCCCCAGTCATCCCCTTGGAAGACAGGGATGGAATTCTAGGAGCCCCATCAATGTAGCCATTCAGGGAGCAAATCAACAGATGGACAATGTCGCTCCCCTTCTTCGTGGAGGAACGACACAGGACCCTGCGCTGTTCTTTCGTCTGCTCGGCCCTCCCCGGGTTTGCTGCTGGTTCTTCCCGGGTTGGCTACTATCCCTTCCACCTCCGTGGAAGGGCAGTTCCCCCTGGCCACATTCCCCACTTCCGCAGGGGAGCGGCACACCGCCGGCCGGCTTTCTTGGGGGCTGCACGGGTTCCCTTAGATGTTCCCCATAGATGTTCCTGGTGCATGCCGTCTCTCTCCTCCTTTATAGTCCTCCTCCGCCAATCCTAACTCGGCTGCCCACACGCCGAGTACGCTGCTCTCCTCCAATCAGGAGCAAGTCCTACAGTTTATTAGTTGAACTGGAGGCAGCTGTGCGGAAGCTGTTTACTTCTCTCCCAGCGCCATATTGTGGGAGAGCAGATGCATAGAATAAGTCTTAATTCCAGTAACTCAGTCTAGTCCGGTTTGCTCCCCACAGACAAGCTCTTTGTAAGTTTGCCTTTCTTTAAAAAGGGAGGGGGGGATTCTTCTGCCATATTAAAACTAAAGGAAGTAGGCTGGTGCCGCGACTCACTTGGCTAATCCTCCGCCTGCAGCGCTAGCACCCCAGGTTCTAGTCCTGGTGGGGGTGCCGGATTCTGTCCCAGTTGCTCCTCTTCCAGTCCAGCTCTCTGCTGTGGCCCAGGAAGGCAGTGGAGAATGGCCCAAGTGCTTGGGCCCTGCACCTGCATAGGAGACCAGGATGATGCACTTGGCTCCTGGCTTCGGATCAGCACAGCACGCCGGCCGTAGCAGCCACTTTGGGGGGTGAACCAATGGAAAGGAAGACCTTTCTCTCTGTCTCTCTCTCACTTTCTAACTCTGCCTGTTTAAAAAACAAACAAACAAAAAAAAACACCTAAAAGCAGCCAAACAAATTAAAACATCTAATACAATGTCTGCTGGTTATTTCATATACTTGCTAAGCAGTAAGACAAATGCAAACAAGTACATTGGAAGTGAGGAAGGAAAGAGGCATTCCATAGGCCCAGCCAGGTAGAATAACAAAGTTTTACCTAAGATTCACCAGTGATGATGAGAAAAATACATGGGAAAGAGGAAAAACAAAGAAAAATGTATTAAGCACATACTGTCTCTCTCAGGCCTTCAGACTGTTATTTCCCATAAATCTCCTTAATAACTTTTCTTTTTCAAAGTCACTCAGCACACATACACAGGCATACCAGTATCTTCTAACTGAATCTCTCCCCCAGTTATAGAAGGCATAAAAGGTTTCTGCTTATCCTTCAGTGAAGCAAAGACATCACTGCACAGGTAAGGACTGAGGGCACAGCGCTAGAAGAAAAGTACAGAGGAAGGGAAGGGGTTGGAACAGTCAGGGTGAAGGCCTTATCCACTGCCAAACTTCGAGTCACAGCAGGAGGAAAGAAGAGCATTCACCACAAGACTTCTGGCTTTTACTAACAGCATATCGTAGACAAGAATCTGCTCCATAGGAACTTCTAACAGGAAAAGCGAAGGGGGATTTCTGGCTGACAAATCCTTAAAATTAAATCCCACATCATTCCATATTAAATTTGATGGGCCAAACTAGCAACATAGTATGGAAATTTGAGTGTTAACTGATTCAAGTAGACTCTTAAACAGTTAAAACTCAGGACAGACTTCACCAGGATTTCCTGGACAGCCATTTCCAGAAGCAGCCAACCAAAGGAGGAAAAGATAAGAAATCTGCTGTCAAACTTAGAACTTGAGGGGCAGGCACTGTGGCATAGCGGGTAAAGCTGCTGCCTGCAGTGCTGGCTTCCCATATGGGTGCCAGTTCGAGTCCGGGCTGCTCCACTTCCGATCCAGCTCTCTGCTATGGCCTGGGGAAGCAGTAGAAAATGGCCCAAGTACTTGGGCTCCTGCACCCGCGTGGGAGACGGGGAAGAGGCTCCTGGCTTTGGATCGGTGCTGCTCAGGCCACTGTAGCCAACTAGGGAGTGAACCAGTGGATGGAAGACCTCTCTTTCTCTCTGCCTTTCCTCCTCTCTCTGTGTAACTCTTTCAAATAAATAAATAAATCTTAAAAAACAAAAAACTTAGAATTTGTCTCAGAAGACAATCCAGGTGGATAATTATCAATTTGAAATTAAGAAATAAGCACATATGAAAAGTCAGTGGGTTTATTTCTAGCCCCATCCCATCTGATCCACTGAAAGATCTTACTTGGATGGAATCATTTATTGAAATATCAGAAACAAAAACCCTAGGACAATGGAAGAAATGTGGTAAAATAAAAGATAAGATAATCTAGGGTGTTGCTTAAGAGTATTAAAAAATTAACACATTTCTACAAAGATCTATGCCAAAGTATTCCTATGGATCACTGAATTTAGAAAATACATAATGGACTCAGCTGACCTGAAAAATACAGTAAGCTATTAGGAAACTAAATCTCCACAGTGAAGTAACTTCCAATACTGAATGAAATCAGGCCCTGCTGATAAATTACTTTCTGCTAAATAAGGAAGGCCCTCTACAGAGACAAATCTTTCAGATAACCCCGGACCATGATGCAATGGAAAGCTCCTGAATTGAGACTAGCAAGTATGTGATGGAAACCAGCCCATCCAGTTACCTGAAAGTGGAAGCTTACCCACCTGTGTGGCTCCGCAGTTTGCACATCTTGAAAACTCCCACTCCTAGTATTTGTGAGTATTGAATGTAATAAACACACAGATTGGGCAAAATGCTATTTCTTTATTCATTCTCCTTTTGCAGCTGCTTTTTTTTAATTTTAAGATATTTATTTAATTGAAAGGAAGAATGACAGGGTTCTTTTTTCTTTAGATTTTTTAATTTATTTACTTGAGAGGCAGAGTTACAGACAGAGGAGAGACACAGAGAACAGTCTTCCATCTGCTGGTTCATTCCCCAAATGGCCACAATGGCTGGAACTAAACCAATCAGATGTCAGGAGCCAGGAGCTTCTTTTGGGTCTCACGCCGATGATGCTGGCACCACAGGCAGAGATTAGCCTACTACACCACAGCGGCGGCCCCACACTATTGATTTTTGTGTGTTTATTTTATATCCTACAATTTTGCTGACATCTCTTATGAGTTAGTGGAATCTGTTGGTTCCCCTATATATAGGATCATGTCACCTTCAAACAGGGATAATTTGACTTGCTCATTTCTAATTTGCATCCCTTTAATTTCTTTTTCTTGCCTAATGGTTCTAGGTAAAAGTTCCAGAACTATATTGGACAGTAATGGTGAGAGTAGGCATCTTTGTCTGGTTCCATGTCTTAGTGGAAATGCTTCCAGCTTTTCCCCATTCAATATGATGCCAGCTCTGGGTTTGTCATATTCTACCTGAAAGGAGAGTTAACAAAATTTCAAACACTTATAAGGTAGGAAATCAGGCTATAATTGGAGGGCAGTTTTAATTGGTACAATATACCCATGGTTTATCCATGGTGTTCTTTAAACTTGTAGATGATGATGCAGAAATAGTGGAGGCCTTGTAACAGTATTAGTACAATGAAAATGGGAACAATCCCTTTAAGAAAGTATTTGGCACACATGCATACTCTGACCTCATAATTACTCTCAGGAACACTCAACCAAAATACAAATCTCCGAGTGAGCATTTGAACTAGTAGTAAAGACACTCATTAGGTCACTCTCACCCTACATGAGAGTGCCTGTGTTCAATTCCTGGCTCTGGCTTCTGAGTCCAGCTTCCCATTAATATGGACCACTCTGGGAAGCATCAGTGATGGCTCTAGCAGTTGGATTTCTGTCACTCATGTGGGAGACCTGGATTAAATTTCTGGTTCTTGGCTCTGGAGTAACAGGCATTTGGGGAGTGAATCAACAGATGGGAGTTGTCTGTCTGTCTGTCTGTCTCTCTCTCTGCCTCTCAAAAAAACAAAACAAAAAACCTTTTTTTAAAAATGCAAATTTAAATAGACACCAAAAGACATGAACAATGAGGTTCAAAGACGTAAAAGGGGGGAGACACTCAATAAAAGGGATAAACAATAACATATTCTTTTTAAAATTTTTTTAAAGATTTATTTTATTTATTTGAAAGAGTTACAGAGAGAGAGGAAAGGCCAAGGCAGAGAAGGCAGAGAGAGAAAGAGAGAGAGAGCTTCCATTCGTTGGTTCGCTCCCCAGATGGCCACAATGGCCGGAGCTGCACCGATCCGAAGCCAGGAGCTTCTTTCAGGTCTCCCACACGGTGCCGGGGCCCAAGGACTTGGGCCATCTTCTACTGCTATCCCAGGCCATAGCAGAGAGCTGGACTGAAAGAGGAGCAGCCGGGACTAGATCCGGCACCCATATAGGATGCTGGCGCTTCAGGCCAGGGATTTAACCTGCTGCACCACAGTGCCGGCCCCACAATGACATATTCTAACTGAAAAATTCTACACTGCAGCAACAAAATTGAAAGAATTCTCAAGTATTAGCCAAAGAACTCAGATGCAAAAACAATGCATCCTATGTGGTTCTATTTATGTAAATGTCAAATTCAGAAGCAAAGACACACTTAGGCATCACAAGTCATGACAGTGGTTACTTTGAGGTAGACGGTAAGGGTCTAATGTCTCCTATTCCATGACCTGCGTGTGACTATATGAGTCAACCCACTTTACAATTAGCCACTGAATAAGCTGTACTTTAAAATTTCTCCATATTAGAATTCAGAAAGCTTATGTTTAAGAAGCTCTTTCCTATATTAAAAGTTAATTATTTTTAATGCCTTTCCGCATACCTCACTATCACGAACAGTAGTGCTAAAGGAAGTCCTCCAAATTTAATCACAGTGGTGTCCAAGGCAATCTGCCTGAACATGACACTTTGAGAAACACCACCTAACCCACTTAAAAGTAAAATGGAGGAAATAGTTCAGGATTCAAAACAGCCTTTGCTAGCCTCAAATCTAGTACCTGGTCAGTTAAGGCACTGAGAATGGCAACCTGAAGGCTGGGCCCTATCCAGTCACTGTCCAAAGGAGAAAAGACCCGATAAAAGCTTTAAAAAGTATGATTTAATCAGATGTGTGAGACCTACAGAATAGTCTGCTGCCTTAAATCTGTTTTGCAGTTAGATGAGCTTCTGAGGCACCCATTCACTTCGAAGGCTGCAGCTTATTTTCTATTCTCAACATATGAGACTCGACCAGAGTAGCAAACTATCACCCCAGGGCACTCCCATTCCCTGTTCTGGTAAAGAAAAGTTTATTGGGACACAGCCACAAAAAGCACAAATTGCCTCTATCTACATTATCTACAACTGACTTCAAGAGCAATGCTGGGCCGGCGCTGTGGCTCAATAGGCTAATCCTCCACCTGTGGCGCTGGCACACTGGGTTCTAGTCCTGGTCAGGGCGCCGGATTCTGTCCCGGTCACTCCTCTTCCTGTCCAGCTCTCTGCTGTGGCCCAGGAGGATGGAGGATGGCCCAAGTGCTTGGGCCTTGCACCCGCATGGGAGACCAGGAGAGGCACCTGGCTACTGGCTTCGGATCAGCACAGTGCGCTGGCCACAGTGGTCACTGGGGGGTGAACCAACGGAAAAAGGAAGACCTTTCCCTCTCTCTCTCTCTCTCTACTCTGCCTGTCAAAAACAAACAAACAAAAAACACAACAACAAAAAAAAGAGCAATGCTGGGTGGTCACAATAAAGAATTGTATGGCCCACCAAGGTCTAACATATTTACTGTCCGGCC